AAAACTAAGCACACTAAGGAAGACAAACACTTTATATGGGAGAGAGTGGCTTCAAGAGAGGTGTGCCTACCTTTCATTGCATCAGAAGAGCAACTAACATATTTTCTAACTAAGGGAGTCACAAAGGCAAAGCTTCAACATTATGTAAGCAAACTAGGCATGATTGACATCTATGCTCAGCTTGAAGGGGGAGTGTAGTGAGAATGGGTCGAATGGGCCTTAGTGTTCTTTATTTATTTTAAGTAGTATTTAAAAGTTATGTTTCATTGTTATGGGCCTTCTTTTATTTTCTTTAATTATTTCTTTAGTGTTGGCCGCCCAATTAAGGGCATCCAAGTAATTGTACTCAAACTTAGAATTATTAATAAAAGTGATGAAAGAAGCAAGAGAGAAATTTTCTCTCTTCCCTTCTTTTCTTCTTCCACAACCTATTTCTGAAACTTCTTTCATCTTCTTTCCCTTTCTCTTTTCTTATTTTCTTGCATTATCTGAATTACCGTATGTGTAATTTTCAACTTTCCCGATGTACGATCGGGACGTGTTGTGAAGTTGGTGTCAGGAGCACTCTATTAAGAGTAGATCTGGACTGGCAGACTAAGACACACGATGGAGGGGGAGGATTTTTTTTCTTGACCCCCTTTTTCCCCAAAGTTGGTTGAGGGGGAAGGAGTTTTACTGTTTGTAATCGAATACAATGCCTGTGAAAAAATTATAACTAGAAATCACAGTGTAATTACAATTCTTATAGCTATTTCACCTCAACAGACCAAGTAAGTCTTCTTGTGGTCTTTGTATTTGTAGAATATGATTAATTGTGTTTTCTGAGAATAAAGAAGATAGTAACTGGATATTCTAGCTTCCATCAAGATTCAATAGCTCCTTAATAGGACTATTTCCTTGAGTTTGTTGGTGTCCGTTCCTTAACTCAGGAACCCCCTCTTTTAAGGTTGGGATCCAAGGGTCTATGGTGGGACAAGAATTGTCATTCTGAAATTTCCAAAACAAAATTCTTTTTATGAGTCCAACGTGGAAACCACCTTCTTCCACCAACCTGAATCATTTGGTGACGATTTCATATTGAAAATTGAATTCTTTTTTGGCAATTTTTTTTTAGTAACTTTATCTATAAGCCCTTTTCTGAGGAGAATAATCTCCAAACTTATTTTGCAAATAGAGATTTGTTAAAATCCCCGATTCTTCTAAAGCCCAAGCCACCCTGGTGTTTAGTTCTACATATTTTCTCCTAGGAGATTGAATGGATTACTGCTTTGTTAGAGGATCCCTCCCACCAAAAATTTCTTTGGACTTTCTCAATTTTTTTATAGTATCTTTTCCAAGGATTGTTGTGCCCATTACATGGTTGGGGATGGCATGTAGGACATATTTGACTAAAGTAGTGCGCTCCACCAGTGATAATAGTTTGGCTTTCCACTGAGCTAATCTAGATGATTTCATGATGCGCATCAATAGATCCACCTTGAAAACACACTCTTGCTCCCATATATTTTTCCTGTGTTTTCATGTGTTTCATCTGCAAGATTTGGAGCATAAATTTCTTTTTTTTTCCTATGAACACAACTACTGAATCGGGTTCCAGATTTTAACAGGTTTATTTTTTTCCCAGATAACTCTTCAATTTTTGCTAATATTTCCTTAACTTTTCTAGCTTGACTTAGTTCTACTTTACACATGATTAGATAGTCATCTGTAAATAGGAGGTGAGATATAGGGGTTCCCTTCTACACAACTTGAAACCCTTCAGCTCCTTATTTCCCTAAGCTAGATCAAAAAGACCAGATAGAGCTTGCATCTCTATAATGAACAAATATGGGGATAGAGGGTCCCCCTGTCTTAGTTCATTTGGCAACTCAATAAATTCTTTTTGGGTTCCATTAATTTTGATTGACAATTTTTGGGAAGAAATGCAAAACTCCACTAGCTTACACCATTGTTCTGAGAAGCCCATGCCTTCTAACATTTTCAAGATAAAATCTCTTCTCATGCGATCATAAGCACTTGACATATCAATTTTTAGGAGCATCCATTCTATCCCCTTCCTCTGATTTCTTATATTATGAGCTATCTCTTTTGCCATAATAATATTGTTAGTTCCTTGCCTCGCTTTGACAAAAGCAAATTGGTTAGGGGCAATTAATTCGTCCAGCACCGGCTGCACTCTTGCCACTAAACACTTTAATATTATTTTGTAGAGGACATTAGATTGGCCTAAATTGTTGAACATTTTCATGATTTTTTATTTTTGAGATGTACACTAAATTTATAGAGTTCAAACCTAAGGGGAATTCTGCAGTGACAAAGAACTATCTAACTAGAGAGCAGACATCATGTTTTATAGAACTATCTTAAAGATTTATGTATCTCCACTTCATCATCATGAGTCTCACCACTTGTTTTGATGGCATGAGATTTAAAAGCACCAACCGCCTCCTCTAATTCCACGATTACTCCCTTATCATTTTTAATGGAATCCATGGAGTTTCTTCTTCTTTTAAAATTTGCTAGCTGATGAAAATATTTTGTATTTTTGTCGCCCTCATTAAGCCACAATTCCTTGGATTTTAATCTCTACATTTGCTCATCCCTTTGAAGTCTCATTCTTTCAGAGATGGAACTAGAGGTTTCCTCCTCAAAATCTAAAATTTTCTCCTCCAGCTGCTTCAATCTATCTTCGATTTTGCCGAACATTTTCCTTATTCCATTTTTTTAAATTTATTTTACATTTCCTTAACTTAGAAACAATGTCAAGTGGGGGATTCCCATGCTAGTTTGTTTTGATAATGTCCCGATATTCAGGTTCCTTAGTCCACATGGGTAATAAATGGAATTGTTTAGGTCTATAGAGGATAGAGGGGTTTGTTTCTAAGACCAAGTTTCTCTAATACTTTGTGATAACCTTTTTTTGCCATTTGTCTAGGTGAAAGTAGAGCCCCCCGTTCTATCTTCATTAAACCATGATTTTTTATAAGTTGGTTTAAAGGTTTAGGTTTTGTTGGTTCCCCAACAGATGATTTAACTCGCTCAAGAACTGCTCTCTTTTACTCTTCAGTGGATGTCCATATACAAGACATAACCACAAATTCATACTAGCTAGTCCATATTTGATGTTAAGAATAATAAATTTGTCTGATTTATCAATTAATTGGAATGACAGATCACGTTTCCAACCATAGTAGAAACCTCTAGATAAACCTTTTGTTGGCACCCCACACCAGAAATCATATCCTATCCTTTTACTCGGTTTTCCTAATTTCTCTAGATTAGTCTTTGTTTCATAAAGGAAAACGACATCTGGGTTATGAATTTTTATTTGTTGTGTAAAAAATGGGTTGTATTGGGATCACAACAACCCTTTCATGTTTCAAGAAAATACTTTCATTTCTGAACCCAGGGATTTACTTGCTAAATGGTGAATGATAAGGAAAACTTAACGTAGATAATAACAAACGGGAGTAGACATTACTTGCATTCGTTCAAGGTAGTTGAGTATAAAGGAGTGGTTTTTAGGAATGGTTGGGGTTAGATCTCCAAGACCTCCATTGTAGATACCTTCTCCTAGCTTTTTGATGTCTATCAAGAGGCTGCCCTGGCCATTGAGAAGATTCTCCACAAACAGAAGCCACTCCTCCCACCATGAAGTTTCCATTTGCTGCATTTTATCTTGCGCTACTAGGCTTAGGGAGCCCCAACCGCTATAAGGCTCCAGAACGAAATCTTTTCCTTGTGGGATGGGAACCCTATTCTCCATACCGTCAGGTGTGAGGATGACCTTATCAACGTTTGCTATGCAAACAAGAGATTTGTATTTCAGGTTGAAAATATATTTCCTTGGTTGGCCCAACTTCGTGAGTCCCAGATCTGGATCCAAACACCCGAATCCTCTTGTTTTAGCGATATAAACTGCCCATTCCCTCTTATGCTAATTGTTCCAAGTCTTCATGTGGAAGGCTTGGTGGCACGATGTGAATACAAAAGATAAACTGAGGTTTCTTGAGATCCAAGACAGATATTGTACAATCTGTAATTCTGGAGAGGAAACTTGGCAACACTTATTCTTTGCAGTTTGGTTCGCAACACAAATCGGTGTCAACCCATCGGATGTTCGTGGTGTTCAATTGTCTTCGTTTGTTTATACTTTATAGATGGATTGGCACAACACTTAACTCTCTGGCTAAGGAAGTTCAAATGGGTTATGTTGCAATGTTCTTTATAATCTTTCACCTTATATGAGATACGAGGAATAACAAAGCTCATAATAAACAAATATTGGATCCAATCCAATTAGTGGATCTGGCTCTCTTATTGCATTCAAGTCTTAATAATGCTATGCATACATAGATCCCATCTTGTCATCGTCATTAGCAGATACCTCATATCATGTTTGTTGATGCAGGTATTGGTTTTATAGTGTTATCTAAAGATTTGAATGTCATATATGCTGAAGGAAGCAGAGTTCAGGGCTCTTCCGTAGCCCAAGCAGAATGGTGGGCCCTTCTCATGGGCCTGGAGAAGGCTATTAACCTGGGAACTAAGACCATCTTAACCTTTTGTGATGCAACTACTGTAGTAAATAGTTTGAAGGAAGATGGTACGGTTGACTAGAGTGTGATGCATATCCAAGAAGTCGGATCAAAATTAATTTTTTTTGATAATATATATATAAATATATGTAACCCATATCAATAGAAATGCAAACGCTGCTGCCCATACTCTAGCCTATCAAGCTTGTAAAGATGGACTGATTTGAAAACTCTATGTAATCTGACGGCTCTAGAATGGTATTATAGGGGGTTACTGTAATTTCAGATTTTTGAGCAGAGTACAGTCTATTGATCCCAAAAAATAAACGGACAAGCAGTTGCAGCTCAATACAAAATTTTGAATTCCACTTCAGACCTACAAAAAATTCAAAGTGTTACATCAATGCCCCCGTAAATTAATATCAATTCCGAGCTGTCACCTACCCATCTGTACAGCAATAGCGTCCAGCAGCATAGTCATATATCCGGACCGGCAGACTTGAAGTTACAACACCAAGCAAGTTCATTACGCGGGTTAATATTACTTCAATTTTCATCTCTACCAGAAACAGATTCAGCGATGTGCTTGGCTGTATGACCCGACAACGAACTTGTATTTTCCGTTATTAGCTTGCTTGAGCATCATTATTTCTGTGTGGGTTGCTATTGCTATCGCAGGGTTATCACAGATTGAATTGCCTAACTTAAAAATCACCGCAATTAAGCTTCTCCATCAACTTTCCTGTCTATGAATCTTTCGACTCCTTCAAAATTAGTTAGCTTGCCAATAGAACAGAATAATTGGCAGCTGTAAACCGAATTGCTCAACATTTCCATGGAGGAGTGCAGCGTCTGGAAGCAAAAAATGGAGCCCTAAAATGCCCGAATCTGTATTGAAATAGGGGAGAAGTCTCTAAACATGGCTAAGCAGTCGGTGGGATGGATCACGTTTCAGAAAAGATGGCTTTTGATGCTTCTCGTTGTATTTTCGATCTCGACAGCAATCGTGTTCGTAATCAGAGCCGCACTCGACTCGTGCGATCGGCATTTCGAAGATGCAGACGGCCGGATTCACTTAACCACGCAGATCAGTAGCATTTCAAATCCGCTCGGTTTCATGAAGTCGAAGCTCGTTCTTCTGGTTTCACACGAACTTTCTCTTTCTGGTACCCCTCCAACCTCATTATTTGTCCCTTCTCTATTCCAAGCAAATTTCTCCCCCTCGTTTCGGGCAAACATTTACATTTTCTTGCTCTGAGCGGTGCTTTAATAGTGGATAGCTGTCACAGTATATTTAAATGAAATAGATAGTTGGCTATGTTCTATGTTCATTAGTGTCAATTTCGTTGCTTCTATACTCAACTATTCATTTAAGTGAAGTACCTGACCGGAAAAGACAGATTGGTCTAGAATCTAGATTTTTCCCCTTTCTGTTTGAAGCTCACCAGAGCATTACCAGATACCCGGTTCATTGAGGTGGCCCGCTATTGGTTCAAGTATAATGTGAATGGTTACTTGTTGCATTCGTGACAATTATGGGGATGGGCGGTGAAAGTACATCCATCAGATTTGGAAGTTATATAAATTTTGCTTCTCTGCCATAGAAATTTGAACCATGAAGGTTCAATTCAAAACCTTTTATGAAAAAAAGTCCAATTCAAAACCTGTTCTCATCAAAAGAACAGTAGTTTGTATTATACTTGGAACATCTTTTATTGCACTTTCTGAATGATGCTTTTGAGAGTGGCTACCTTTGGTTACCATTCGTTGGAAACTAGATTAATTGTGTCAATCAGGCAATTTATGTTTCCCTGTTACAGGCATGGCTTTTTGGGTGTGCTGGGACTGGGAATTCTCAATGATCTCACTCCTCATTTCCCATGTTACAACCTTAGAAAATGTGCTAAATTAATGCACATGATGTTAATAATACAGATAGATTGAAACCTTTTTAACCACTAACCCACTTTTGATAGGAAGACTGCTTAATTTAATTTATCTCCTAAACTGTAAACAGGATTAATCAAATTGGTCCTTTAAATCTTTAGCTTTATGCTATGATGTTTGGATACTTCATATGCCCAATTTACCAAATGTCATATACGATACTTGTTGGATATGACACACTTAATATTGTGTGGATACTTCTAGATGTATAATGTATGCTATTGCGTTAATACTTTTGAAATATTTAAAATGGACTTCCCCACCTTTTGGATTCTTAAAACTGAATTTTGATGGCTGTAGCGTGGGGAATCCAGGGCCTTCTAGAATTGGGGGTGTGCTCAGGAGTGAGGAGGGGTTTATTGTAGCTTTGTTTTCAGGCCCTATTGGAGAAGGAGACTCATTCAAGGCTGAGGTCTTTGTGGCTTTGGAAGGAATCCAAAAAGCTAGGGAGCTGAACATCAGAAGTTTGGTCCTCGAAGGTGATTCAGAGGTGGTGATTAGATGGCTAAAGGAAGATAACAATAGCATGTGGATGTTTAGCAATTAAAGGAAGAAATCAAAATGGCTTACTAGGGATATTGAGGTGAAGTACAGCTGGTTGAAAAGAAATGCCAACTCACTTGCCGATGGACTAGCCAAACAAGGGGTGAATAGGGATTCTTTATTTTGGGCTAATTTCTAAGTATTGTATTGTTTTCTAATGGTGGGGAGCTAAGACATTTTATCTCTCCCTTTCTTGTATTTAAAATTTGACATCTTTAATAAAAGTTTTCAGTTATTGATAAAAAAAAATTTAAAATGGCATCATCATCACCCAACCTTTATCCCAACTATATGGGGCCAGCTACAAGGATCCTGTTTCTCCATTCCTTTTTGCTTAATGCCATTATCCATTGCTAAATTATTAGTGCTTAAATCATTTCTCACTACTTCAACCCATATTCATTTTGGTCTACCCATACCCCTTCTAGCCCCTTCAACTTGCAATAGATCACTTCTTCTTATGGGTGCTGCCAAAATTCTTCTATGCACGTGACCAAACCATCTTAAGTGATGTTTGGCATTGATGGTGATTTCCCAGAAATTGGTGCCATGTAGGATCCACATCAGAATTTGAAGAATCATTGATTTTTTTTTCTGTTTGGTTGGCCGATTATGCTGATTTCTGGGAAATTAGCCAAAAATCGATTATTGAAATCAGTCCTTTTCAAGGGATCACCTTTTCTGGTGATTTCCTGATTTTCAACTGATTCCGATTTTTTTTTGAGGATGACATGGCATTGAATAATAACTCTAAGACAAAAATAATCGGTCCTTGAAAATCAGTACCAAACAGACTCAAAGCTGATTTCTCAAAAATCAGCTTACATGGCATAAATGATACCAAACAACAATTTTTGATGATTATACAAAAATCACTGATTCCAGAAATCACTGATTTTTGGATAATCGGCAAGGAGAAATCATCATCGATGCCAAACATCACCTTAGTCTACTGTTTTATTTTATTGCCTATTGAAGATACTCCTAGGTTCCTTGACACGACTTCATTCTTGTTCCTATCCTTTGTGGTTTTTTCTACACATTTCTGCTACACTTATTTTTTTGGACCTGCTGTTTCTTGACTGCCCAACACTCTACTCCATACAACATAGTTAGCCTTACAACTATTTTATAGAATTTTCCTTTTAATGTAAGTGGTATTCTCTTATCCTCCATTTTTCCTGTCTTACTCTAATTTCTATGGTTGATGTCCTCCTCAATCTCTCCCTTGTTATGAATTATTGAACTAAGGTACCAAAAAAGGTCACATTGAGTTATCTCTTGGTCTCCAATCTCAAGTGTACCCTGATTTGCACTCCTAAAATGGTATTTTTAAACAAATTATATTGTAAAAAAAAATCTGCACATCTTAAAAATTTAATTAAATTTGGAAAGGAATAAGTCTTAAGAAATGAAGTCTAGCTTCAAAAACTAGATATAAATGTATTTAAGCATATTACATGGGATACCTGTATCCATATATGTGTTCAGGGTTTTAGGAAATGGAGAATCACATTCCCGTTTTTCATATCCATGTGTATGTCCATATCCTTATATGGGTACACAGGCCTTATGTATTCACTGAATTATCATTACGAGAATAGCCTCTTTTTAGGTGTCAATTTGGAAATGTTTCCCCCCTCATGTTAAGTGTGAGAGTTGTTCCTAAGAATTCCCTTCTTTTCATGGAAAACTAATTCTAGGACACTACTAGAGGTACTGGATTTTACCATTTCTTGATGCATACACACAATTTCCAATGCCTTTTGTTTATACATATTTAGTCAGGCTGTTTTTAGCAAATAACATTCTATTGCCCTTCATTTTAAACGTCTTTGCTCTTTCTTCTCTCTCTTTCTATTTATTCATTTATTTATTTTTGTGTTTATTGAATGTTAAAGGTTGACATCTTGGGTTATTTTCTAATTTGTAAGGCATTTAAAAGACAACATATTTATGCAGGTGGACCATTATTGCTGATGGAGTTGGCATTCCTATTAAGAGGTGTCGGTGCTCAAGTTGTTTGGATTACTAACCAAAAACCAATGGAAACAGATGAAGTAATATATAGTTTAGAGCATAAGATGCTGGACAGAGGAGTACAGGTAATGCATTACTCAAATATGTACTGTTTTTGACATTACTAGCATGTGAAGCTTTTCTATTTTTAATTTTGGTCTGTAAGCTGGTGGATACGGCACTTGTGGTGTAACTCTGAAAGTCTAAGGACAATGGCCATCCCAACCGGGAGAAGGAAAAGGGGAAAAGAGGAGCCTGCTGGATCCCTGGAGGGGCTGCTTAGATACCCTCTGGTGAGGGATTAGGCCACTGCAATTTGTCGGTTTTGGAATTCTGGTGGGAGGGAGATGGCACTGTAGAAGGGAGGTCAGGGAGACTGAGAGAGGTTATAGAAGGGGTTTCAGATCCCAGATATGTGATTTGAGAGAGAGAGACTCTCTCTCAGGCAGGAAAGGAAGCTCTGAAGTGAGAAAGGAAACTCACGTGGTCTAGGGTTATGAATGCCTTGTGGATCCTCTCAAGGGACCCCTATGTAAAGATTTTTCTTAGGAAGTTTTCTTTTCTAGAAAGTTCCTTTTTGAGTTTGTTATAGAATTGCCCAATTTGCGACACTTGGACTAGTTAGGGCCTTGCCATGTGTCCATGTGTTTACCTTGGTACTTGGGTTTATGTCCTTTCTAAGTCCTTAAGGAGAATGCAATGAGAAGTTGGGTGCGATGGGGTTAAGCGTCAATTTATGTATATGTGATAGGTGCAATGGGAGAGTGCTCTGTCTAAAGGCTACCTTGTTAATGCAATGATGCGGCAAGTGGTTGTCTTCGCATCCTGAACTGTGATGGATTGTGTTCATGTTACTGCATTGTTGTCCCATTGCACTGCTGTCGATGTGATGGCTAATCACAAATGGTACTAATCATTTGCGATTTTGATTGCTGGTTGACCTAGGGTACTTGCATTGTGAATGTTTGATGATGATGAATTTGTCTAAGTCTCCTTGAGTGTAAGGTTATTATGGATGGGTTGTGATTAGTTAGGCTTTTACCTGTGCTCGGGTGTTATTGTGCCCATGATATCGCAAGATTTGTGATGGTTAATTCTATGTACTTACATGGTCTTTTAGTAGCATTGTGTACAAAAATTGATTTTGTATATTTTCCTTTTTGATTGTTAATGAAAAAGAGAAAGAAATATTAAGAAAAGAATACAAGAGCCTCCTAATTCAAAGAAGGAGCCACAAAAAGGCCTGAAGGGTTCAACCTTCTCAAGGATAATTAATCTTAACATTTTTTATGTGAAAACTGTTTGAATTAGCAATGATGCCACAGTTACTGGGAAACCCATTTCATACATGAGTAGAAGTTTGTCCAATACATGCTTGGTGTGTGTAACATTTCTGCAAGGGGTATTTTTCCTTGATTGGACTAAGTTGTCTTGTTTAGGGATGTTTTTTGCTTTCATTTCTTATGTTGTTTTCAACACCTTTTCTCTTTCTGGAAACTACAGGTGATACTATTACAAAGAACATCTTGTTGAAGATGAAATAATGTAAAAAACTCTAGATTTTTTTTCCTGTCAGATTAATGATCCAATTCCATAGTGTAATGAATCTAATGAGCATTATCTTTTAAAATTTCATTCTGCTACTCTTAGGCATGAAGTTTCTACATTAGTCATTACCATTATTTTAGCATGTTTGTAAACTTTGTTGTGCATGTTTTTATTTTTTTTCCTTTTTATTGACTGTGCGTCTGTGCCCAAAAGCTGCTATGAAAAGTACAGATTTCTTTATGATATGTTTTTTGATCAGTAACTGAAAACTTTTATTAAATAAGAGAAATATAAGTACAAGAAGGGGGAGATAAATGTCTTAGCTCCCCACCAATAGGTTACAGAAAAAAACTTAGAAATTAGCCCAAATTAAAGAATCCCTATTCGCCCCTTGTTTGGCTAGACCATCAGCAAGTGAGTTGGCACTCCTTTTCACCCAGCCGTACTTCACCTCAATACCCCTAGTAAGCCATTTGAGTTTCTTCCTTTCATTGCTAAACCTCCACATGCTTCTGTTATCTTCCTATATCCATCTAATCACCACTTCTGAATCACCTTCAAGGATCAACCTCCTGATGTTCAGGTCCCTAGCTTTTTGGATTCCTTCCAGAGCTGTAAAGGTCTCAGCCTTAAGTGAGTCTCCTTCTCCAATAGGGCCTGAAAACAAAGCTAAAATAATCCCCTCCTCATTCCTGAACACACCCCCAGTTCCAGAAGGCCCTGGATTCCTCACACTACAGCCATCAATATTCAGTTTTATGAATCCATAAGGTGGGGACGATTTCCTTATGATATGTTCCTAAGTGTGGTTTGTTGATTTTTGTAGATCAGATTTATCCTCTTCAAATTTTGATGAATACGATGCAGCTACTTGTGAGCATTCTTCAAAATGCTGGATATCAGAATGTTGCTGATGTTTTGAACCTACCTGAAATTCTTTCTAGTATTGAAGAATCATGGTGCAACTGCTGATTAAAAAAAAGTGATTATGATGCAAGATTAATACTTGGTTTGTCATGTTTTGTTTACTTATTTTGAATGGTTTTTTGATATTGGAAAAAGGAAAGGAAAACCCAATTTGGATGGTAATGAATAGTAGTATGACAACACTTATCCAAGTATTCGGATATTTTTTATATATAATTTCTTATAATTTCAGTGACTTTGGTGCATAACTTTGCTTATTTCATTGTATTCTTTGAAATTTTGTTGAAAACTTCAACTTTTCCGATCTTGCTTCAATTTCCCCATATTTTTTGATAATTCAATATTTCAAGCTATTTTTGATGTCCTTAAAAGTATTTGCTTCTCCTTGTGCAGATATTTTCAGCATTACTGGAATTTTTGTACTTGCCTTTGAGTAATATAATGTGTTGGTTACTTTCTTTTGCCTCATCTTTTGGATTGCTTAGTTGCTATTTTTGGTGTTATCATATGGTGCTTAAAATCGGAAACAGCCTCAATGTGCATTTGCAGGGGTAAGGCTGTGCTCATCTGTCCTTCCCTAGATCCCGCATTGGCAGGAGCCTCAGGCACTGGGCTGCCCTATATGGTGCTTGAAAGTTCTATTACTTGCCTATGAGTAGCATAAAGTGTGGTCACTTTCTTTTGCTTGTGTTTTTGGATTGTTTAGTTTCTAATTTTGATACTTCCATTACAGTGCTTAAAAATTCTATGTTGTTTCAGCTCTGAACTAGGATTTGTTTCTTGATTCTATGATCCCAAATAGGATAAGAAACTATTGATGGAAAAGTGTAGATCCTTTCTCTTTGTCCCTACCTCAAGAACATCTTATATCACTGCAAAAAGTAACATTATATCACTAGATCCCGCATTGGTAGGAGCCTCGGGCACCGGGCTGCCCTATATGGTGCTTGAAAGTTCTATTACTTGCCTATGAGTAGCATAAAGTGTGGTTACTTTCTTTTGCCTAGAATTTTTTGGATTGTTTAGTTTCTCATTTTGATGTTTCCATTACAGTGCTTAAAAATTCTATGTTGTTTCAGCTCTGAACTAGGATTTGTTTCTTGATCCTATGATCTCAAACAGGATAAGAAACTATTTGATGGAAAAGGGAAGATCCTTACTCTTTGTCCCTACTTCAAGAACGTCTTATATCACTGCAAAAAGTAACATTATATCACTGTAATGAGGTTTTGTGGAGACAAGATGAAGGGTTATAATTTGGCATTTTGGTTCAGAGTGATGAGCTATTTGGCGGCGATGAGGAGTGGGTATGATCGTTAGGAACCATGGATCTTGTGATCTGATTTTTGGATTTGGTATTAGTGGGGTGCAAGTAGTTTAGATGTTTTAGAGGGCATATGAATTTGTTTGCAGGGCATATTTTTTGGAATCCGATTACCTTTGGGCTGTTTTAGGGATGATTAGGAGGTTAATAGGTGGTTTCAGTTTAAGATAGGATTTTTTTATTTGCTGGATTTTCAGGGGCTATTAATGAGAAGGGACGGTTGGTTTTATTGTATTTCCTTTTCTTTGTTTGTGAGGTCTTCATCTTGTCACCTGTCTCTGTGTCTTCTTTTTCTTTAATAAAATTTCTTGCTTTATTATAAAAAAACCATAGGAATTTCACTGCACTACTCTAACTGTCTGTACTGTTCTGAATTTATTCTTTTCTGAGAGTGAACCACTGCAAATTTAGAAAATCATGTTGATAGGACATTATTCCCATTTTATCATAACTGTGGTTGATAACAGTAGTTCTAATGATCATTGTCATTGAGTCCTTCATAGTATCAATTGTTGCATTTTAATTTTGGGCAGCTCAGTGAACGAGGCTCCCCCACCAATGCGGGGTCTGGGGAGGGACAGATGTTGCATTTTAATTATGCTTCTATCATTTCTTTTGCGGTTTAATGTGTGAAATCTTGTTACAAGAAACTTTTACATGTATGAAATAAGGATACTGTGATGCATGGAACCTGAAGCTTGTGTGAGAATGTTTCTGTTGAACAAAGACCTTTATTATTTAACTCTGATCTGTTGCATACATTTTATGCTAAACTTGGCTCTGATCTGGTTCAAATTTGTCTAGATTGTTTTTGTGTGTGAAATGCTCTATGTATATTCTGATTATGGTGATTTTGTTAGGTCCTTTCTGCAAAGAGTCAGGAAGCCATAGAAACCGCTCTTAAAGCTGATTTGGTTGTTTTAAACACTGCTGTTGCTGGGAAGTGGCTTGATGCTGTTCTCAAAGACGATGTTCCTCGTGTTCTTCCAAAGGTTTTGTGGTGGATTCATGAAATGCGAGGGCATTACTTCAAATTGGAGTACGTTAAGCACCTCCCTTTTGTTGCAGGTGCTATGATTGATTCACATACAACAGCAGAATATTGGAAGAATAGGACAGAAGAGCGTTTACGGTATGTCAACAAGAACCTATTGTCTTACTTTCTAATTGGATTGTTCCTAACAATGTTTTCAACCAGCTGGTCGAACTGTTCGAATTGTCACCCGGCCAGGATTCCGGGTCCGATTAAGTCAAGACCCGTCAGACGGTAAAAAACCATTGACTTAGTCAAGAACCGTTCAACCCATCTGGTTCGAGATCTATGTGTCCCAAGGAGCCATAGGTTCCTTGCCCCGCTTTTTTTTGCGAAAAACCCCGTTTTGGCCTCAAATTGTAAATTTTAATATTTTTATAAATAAACAAATTAAAAAACATAAATAAAATATAAAATAATACATATAACATATCTAAAACATATTTATACATTATTTATTGCTAAAATATATTTATACAGATATATACATATATATACAAATATATGTATATATATACTTAGTGCATATATATATGCTGATGTGGCATGGTCCGAACCGTTCGACCTGGCCGATCGAACCAGTGACCCACGACCCGGAGGCAAAAATGGTTCGGCATCCGGGTTGGTTTTCAAAACATTGGTTCCTAACACCTCTGTGTGCTGTTCTCTATTGCAAGTTAACCAGATTTTGGGGCTTTTCTGTTACTGTCTTTATATATCATCATCATCTAAGCCTTGTTCCAACTATATGAGGCCAGATACATGAATCCTGTTCTGTCATTCCATTTCTGTTCAGTGCCATACCCATTGTTAAACTGTGGGCCCTTAAATCATGTCTCATTACTTCAACCCTTGTTCTTTCTGCCCCTTCAGCTTGTGACAGATCACTTGATCACTTCTTGTTACTTATGTTGTAGATAGTCTTCTCTACATATGCCCAAGCCATCTTATTCTACTTTCCCTCATTTTATCACATATTGAAACTACTTCTAGGTTCCTGTGAATAAGTTCATTTCTGATCATATGCTTTGTAGTTTTCCTACTCATTCATCTTAACATTCACATTTTTTCTATACTCGATTTTTGGACATGTTTCTTGTCTGCCCAGCATTTGCTGGCCTTGTAACCATTTTATGAAAATTTCCTTTTAGCATAAGTGGTATTCTCTTATCACATAAGACTTTGGATGCACCACTTCACTTTGCCCATTCTACTCTAATTCTATGGGAAACATCTCTCTTAATCTCTCCCTTGTTATGGACAATAATTGAACCTAGGGAATGGAAGAGGTCACACTGAGTTAACTCTTATTCTCAAATTTTAAGTATACCTTAATTGCACTTCTATTATTATTAAGTTTTCATTGCATATATTCTATTTTAGCCTATTTATTTTAAAATCTCTTGTTCTAAGATGTTTGTCCATAAACCTAATTTTGCATTTAATCTTTCGTTAGTTTTATCAATTAGTACTATGTCAATCTGCAAACAACAAGCATCGCATGCCCTCTTCTTGAATATGTTATAAGGAAGTGTTGTGTATTGGTGAAGACCCATTGTAACTATAAAATCTTATGTTTCTCACGTAGGTGTTCTAACATCAATTGTTGCACCCGCATATATATCCTTAATCACATCCATATGCCTATTTAGCATTCCTTTCTTTTTCAAAACTCACCATGTTATCTCTCCAGAGACTTTATTATATGCTTTCTTTAGATCAATGAATACCAATATGAAAATCTCTCTTCTGTCTAAACTTTCCTATAAATTGTTTCAATAGAAAGATGACTTAAATGGTTGATCTCCCTGGCATAACCCAAGTTGGTTTTCTAATATCCTAATCCTTGTTTCATGTTGTAACCTAGTCATAGGCTTTCTCTAGTGGCTAATGAGTGTGCCGTAGGAAAAAAAAAGGAAAAGTGGAGAGAAGAGTTTGGTATATAAAGTGGATTTAGAGAAAACCTATGGCCTAGTGGATTGGAAAGTTCTATAAATTCTAGAGAGGCTTGATTTTGGAGCAAAGTGGAGATTGTAGATTAAAGATTGTGTTAGCTCAACTCATTATTCAATCCTCATCAATGGTGTGGCAAAGGATTTCTTCCCGGCCAAGCGAGGAATTAGGCAAAGAGACCCCTTATTCCCTTTCCTTTTCACTTTATTGGTAGAGGTTTTAAGCAAAATGATGGTGAAAGCAGATTTATAGGGTTTGATTAGGGGGTGGGGAATTGGTAGAAATCAAGTGGTTGTTTCCCATCTCCAATTTGCCAATGCTAACAATACAATTCTGTTCTATGAGGTTGTTAATGTGGAAATGGTGAGAAGCTTGAAGATTTGATTAACAACTTTGTGGGATTGATTGGGTTGAGGATTAATTGGATTTAGAGTAGAATTGTAGGGATCAATTTGGAATAAGGGGAACTGCTGAGGTTTGTTGAGTTACTGGGTGTGAAGTTGTAAATTGGCCTGTAATATTCCTTTGGGAGGGAACCCTAGTTCTGATGGATTTTGGAAGCCAATAGTAGAGAGGTTTGCAAGGAAACTAGAGCTTTGGAAATGAAATTACCACATTGGCAAATTTTGCCATTTATTTCCTCTCCACGTTCTGCATCCTAATTAAGATAGCAAGACAACTAGAGAAATACATGAGGGACTTTCTTTAGGAACCAGGAGAGGATAAAAAGGACCACCTAGTTAAATGGGAACAAGTTAGCAAACCTAAAGAAAAAGGGGCTTAGGGCTTAGGGCTAGGAAACATAGCCTTTAGAGGTTCTTCTTTGAGAGTGATAGGTTGTGGCAGATAATAGTAAGCATTCATGGGTTAGAAGGTAATGGTTGGAATGATAAAGTTGCCCCCCCCCCTCAACTCTTCTTCAGCTTCCCCTTGGAAAGCAGTTCATGAAGTTTTGATGTGGGAAGGGGTGATAAAGTATGATTCTGGGGAGGTTTGTGGCTACAGGGAAATCCACTTGAAGGCCAATTTCCTGAACACTTTGCTCTCCTACTCTTTACTTAAGGGTGATACTGTCTAGAATGGGAAGACCTTCTCTCACTGGTTTAAATTGGAACTTGGGCTTTAGAAGAGGTTTAAGGAAATGTTCTTCCTTGGCCCACCTACTCAAACATTTTAAGGCAAGTCTCACTGGACCCTTCCCTTGAAGACTCTAGAATTTGGTTAGTTTTACTAGATGGCCTTTTCACTTGCTCCACTTTTTTCAAACTCCTTGCCTTGCTTAACCCTCAAGGGGTGGACTTCCCAGTGAAAGAAATTTGGAGTAAGCTTATCCCACCTAAGATTCAAGATTTCCGTTGGGAAATCTTTCTTGGTAAGGTAAATACTTGTGATATGCTGCAGAGAAGAAAGGCTTATGTTTGCCTTTCTCCTCACATGTGCTTCTTGTGTAGGAACAGTGATGAGACCCTATCTCATTTATTAACCTCCTGTTCAGTTGTTAATAGAATTTGGGAGTTTTTTTGTTCTCTTTCTTGGTGCAGGTGGGACCCCCCTCAAGATGTGGTGGGCATTTTCATTCCTAACATCTTGAGCCAATCAAAGAAAAGAGGAAAAGCACTGTGGAGAGCCACTAATGCAACACTTTGCTAGGTGGTATGGGAAGAAAGAAATAGTAGGGTCTTCTTTGAAAGAAGCTGGACTTTGGAGGAACTGATGGTCAACATAAAAGTAAAGGTAGATCTATGGGTTAAGACGTTGGATGGCTTCCAAATCTTTTCAGTCACTGACATTTTAAGAGCTTAGACCAAAGTAGCAGTCTTTGAGAGCAAAAGACAGAATAAGAATGGATTGAAAACCCCTAGAAGGTAACAAAGTCAAGCTGAACTTTGAAGGGAGCTCCCTTGGAGGTATGGTAGGAATAGGAGGGGTAATCAGAAATTCTGAGAGGAGAATCTTGGCTCTGCTTTCAGGGTCAATTGGTTTGGGAAATTCTTTGAAGGATGAACTGTTGGCTCTGCTGCAAGGTCTCCGGTTAGCAAAACAGTTGGGTTTTAGAATGATTGAGGTGGAAGGGGATTCAAAAGTAGTCATATCATGGGCAAATTGCAGTAGCATACTCCTTGGACTTTTAAACAGGTGACAAGGAAGTGAAAGTGATTGCAAAGGATATAGAGGCTGAATTTAAGTGGGTCAGATGGAGTGCAAATTGGTTCGATGATTCCCTTGCTAAACAAGGGGTTATGAGGAAGCAATTATTCTACACTGCTATGTAATTTGGGTTTGAAAGTAGGGAACAACATTTCTATCATCAAGTTGTACTACCCACTTATTTAATCAAATCTAATAAAATGAAATATGTTTTCTGCTGATAAAAAACCATTGCTCAGTTATTTTTTCCCATAGTTTCATAGTGTGGCTTATGAGTTTAATCCCATGATAATTTTTACAACTTTGGGTATCACCTTCCTTTTTAAATTTAGGCACCATAATGCTCTTTCTGCATTCATCAGGCATCTTTGTCATTTTCATTATCTTATTAAATATTTTAGCTGGCTATAATAGGCTTACCTCTCCCATACCTTTTCCAAACCCCTACTGGGATACCATCAAGTCTTGACATTTTTAGTAATATTAGAGTTATAATCCCTCCTCTACTAGCACCCTTTATATGTCTATGGTTTACCTTTTGAGCCAAAGGTAATTATTGTATTTTGTATCTATATAATTAATGTATAAAAAGGATTGTGTTAGTCACTTACGACGTATGCCCAATACACAAAAACATTAGGCTCACTACTTTTCTTCTCAGGTAAGTATTGTCTCAAAAAAAGTTTGATGAATTTCTTTGAAGATCTCCAGCACTGACAACCACTACTAAGTTGCATCCTTTACTCTTCTGATCAGCTCATCCATGGAGCTGCTTTTGTTCTCAAATATTCTACAGTTTATTTCACTCCAAATACACCAAGATACTGTTACTGGAATTGTAACCCACAGCCTTCTGCTCCTCCTGCTTAATCCCTTTAAGTTCCACCCCAGCCTTCCTTCAATGATTTCGAGTGACATCAGAAAAGATTCAAAGCTTTGCAGAAATGATTGTACACCTCTCTTGTCCTGAGATAGTTAAGAAATGAATGGGTTGCTGCTTCCTTCTCCTCAGTAGACTAATTCCCCTTCTTTCTAGACTGCCCCTTGTCAAACATGTATCTAATACTACTATCCAAAATAAGAAAACTACTTTGGGGGGAATTTGAGGAAGCCAAATTCTATATGTTTTCATTTAGTAATTTTTCAAAATATCAACTTATTTTTAGTAATATTGTCTTGATATGTAAAACGCCAATAAATTTTTTGGCTTTATTTACTGGTTTATCCTTAACAGTTATTTGCTATTTTCTGTCAAAAAGAAAGCTAGCTGTATGCTTTTCTAGTTGCTTAGGTATATTTTTTAACTCTCTTCTTTTCTATTTTTATTTTCATCCAAACCTTGTCTTCTTTTTTTTTTTATTTTTAATTGGATTTAAACATTATATGCCAGGAGTTGCAGCTGCTTCCTAGAAGAGTTTTTTTTTTTATATTGGAAAGGAGCGATAATCTCTTAATAGGATGTTTTCCCCCTCCCTTAAGCTTTTGACTTGGGGATGTATGTATTATGGCGTTCATCTATGGGTGTATAACTGGTCTCATCTGTACATATAAAAAATGTAAAAGCTTCTTTAAACAAGTTTTGCTTTTTAAAAGAGATTCTTTATGCTACCACTTGTCTGGTGTATTCTATAGTGTAAAATTTCACTTGTTCTCTTAATATTTCTTTTATACAGATTTCTCTCATTATTTTCATTTTTGGCTTTGCAGGATTAAGATGCCTGAGACCTATGTTGTTCATCTTGGAAATAGCAAAGAATTGATGGAAGTAGCAGAAGATAACGTGGCCAAAAGGGTTCTCCGGGAGCATGTCCGAGAATCCCTTGGAGTTCGAAATGAAGATCTACTTTTTGCCATCATTAATAGTAAGCCTTCTATACTTTGACTATTTTTCTTCTCTCTCTGTTTTCTTTTACTAATAAGTGATGATTGGTTGGCATTTTGTCACTTTTCCATAGATTTGATAGTAATATACTAATATTGTGGGCCCAGTTATTTGTTAGTGCAGGAAACTCCTTTGCTTAAAATGATGTCATTTTTTTCACCTTGTCCAAAACTAATTGAGGTTGGACACACATATCAATTGGTTAATTTTATTTTTCCCTTTTCCTAATTCTTGGTTATCTTGGATATTACAAAATTATATGAAAGGATATTCTTCCTTTTTCCCATTGTACTTGTGCTTTTTTCCACTGAAAGCTGCTTGGGACATTTATTTCTTTTGAGCACTGAGCACAGGATAACTGCAGGTGTTTCACGTGGGAAAGGACAAGATTTATTTCTCCGCTCCTTCCATGAAAGCTTGCAGCTGATCCAACAGCAGAAGCTAAAGGTGCCATCCATGCATGCTGTTGTAGTGGGAAGTGACATGAATGCTCAGACCAAATTTGAAACAGAACTTCGCAACTTTGTAATAGAGAAGAAAATTCAGGATCGTGTTCATTTCGTTAACAAAACACTTACTGTAGCTCCATATCTTGCTGCAATCGATGTGCTTGTACAGAACTCTCAGGTACTTAATGCATGCCTGTAAATTTCAATTCCTGTTTAAAACAAAAAATCTATTTATTTCCAGGATTTTGTAGCCTTCCATAAGGTATGTCTTTTATATTCCTACTAATGTTTCTTTTTATCTTCAAATAAAAAAACAAGTACTCTTGTGGTTCAGAAGAGTTATTGTATGCGTTCATTATACTGATAAAAGTGTACAGTCTGGATGACTGCAGTTCCATTAACCCCATAATTTTTATGAAGTCTCACTGGCTTGTGCAATGGGATTCACAGCAATTATGAAAAGAAGAAGACAAACCTGTATTTATTATTGTTTTTCATGAAGAACAAAACCAGGGTGTATATAGATAAAACAGAAGACATATAACATCTCCATATCCTTTTTGCTTCAGGTGTAAAGGATTTAAAATTGTGGCTCACTGGCTCTGTTTCCAGCATCGAGTACTACTAATTCTAATTAAGTTCAGGTTCAATTCTAAGAACTTCTAGAACAAGTAACAAATTGGAATTATCTGAAAAGCTGTCAAACTTCCAACTAAGCTGATTTCATGCTGGCTCCCCTGGGGCATGTGACTGAGCCTAACCATTCTTCAGGTGGATTAAATTTCTACTACATGTCGCTCAGTTGGAGGTTCATTGACTGGTCCAATTCATGGGCAATGATAGGCCTACTAATGCCATTAGTGACTGGTCAGAAAACCTATTTCTGTGGTTATTTTCTTTTACTCCTAATCATGGTTTCAAGCTTCATCATAAAATCTGTACAAACATAATCACTGCTCTATATCTAGCAAAGCAAGGTGTAAATCAGAGTCTTTGTTTTGGGCTGTTTTGTAACTTGATTTATGATGAGGGGTGGTCACCTTATGTCCCTGTAGGTGATTGTTGTATTTCTGTTTTTAAGCTAATGAAAGTTACCGTTTCCTATCAAAAAAATCACTGCTCTATATGATTTATAGTATCTGTGGACTCTGATACCTTTGAACGCAATTAACAAAATGGGTTAGTGGTAATAAAGTAACTTAGCTAATTGACAGGTCACAAGTTCAAATCTTATGATAGACATTTGAAGTTTCTGAGCATTTACTGACCTGGGTGGGTCATTAAAACCGGTTAAATTATCAAAACCCATCCGGTTTTCAACAGTTCTGCCAGGTTTTGACTGGTTCTAAAGGTTTTCCAGAAATTTGAAGCCTGGACTTCTAAAAATCCAGAATGGTCTCTGGTTGACTGGTTCCCGGGTCCAACGGTCTGACTGTCAGGTCTGGTCCGGGTCTTAAAACAATGTTATAAGCATTAAAAGAAGCAAGCTCTCTGATGCTTCCATAGTTTGTATTTAGTTTCAATAATTAAATCAAACATTTTATTAAAAGGAAAAGTATAACCAGAGTATGACCAGTGCTTCGGCTTCCTTAGGTTTTATTATAGGATGTACTTGACTTGTTGAATTCTTTGTCCCCTTCACTTGTTGAATTCTGTAATCACTCAATACAGCATCTTTCTCTCTTCTCCTGTTGTTCTATGAAGAGATGCTGCTTATATTTCAAGCCATGGATACATAAACCATGGAAGACTTAGAAAGTTGCATCTTTGTTTGTGAAGCTTAACCTTTTTTACTTTTTTCTGTGTAGGCTAGGGGAGAATGCTTTGGTAGGATTACCATTGAAGCTATGGCATTCCAGATACCTGTATTAGTAAGTTCCATTTTAGCTACGAAATTAAATTAATTCATATCAGTATATGCACGTTTGTTAATGTTAGCTTTGTATAAATAGTAGAATGTGCATACTTTTCTTGTTTCCAATAATTTCTTTATCTGTTTTACAATTTTTATATGTAAAATTTGATTATTCTGATTTCTGATTCATTTCTTTATCTGCTTTATGTGAAACTGCCTGATGCATGTCCTTTGTGCAGAGTGCTTCTTTCTAGCTTAGGAACTCTGTGGATTTGCATTCTAGGACCTGTTAACATTTTTCAGAGGAACCGTACACATTGCAAGTTGGTTTAGGGGTTAATACTTAATGGACACCAATTATTTTGGGCTGAAATATGGTACTTATACTAAGAGAAGGGATAGGTGGAGTAAGTCCAGCCTATAAAATGGGTGCATACTTTTGTACATATGATTCTTTATTTAAGGCAGTAAAGTGATTCAGTTGCCCATAAAAAAAAGGTTGAATTAAGACAGTGGACTTGGATTCTTGGAAAGATAAAGTAAAAATAGAGAACATTGAAGCCTATTACCAAACAGATTTTCCCAAAGTGGTTAAAAAGGCCGTCATAACATTCAAAGAGGAATGTTAGAATTAAGTATTTAAATGCAAAACTTGAGATCTGCTGAAGAGAAAAAGTGATACATTAGGAATTTCTGTATTTCATTTGACAAATTTTGGCAATCATCTCATTCCATGCCAATAGAACTTGGACATAATTATACTGGATGACTATTAGGGTGACCATAGTCTACAATTATAAATGTTGAGCAATCAAGAAATGGAACATAGGATAAATGTTTTGAGATAGATGGATGAGAAGTGATATTTAGTGGATGAAACTAAATATCAGTATACACGAAGGGCTCTTAGAGATTAGGGTTTGCTTCAGTTGACAACAAGGTTAAGGACACCGGCTAAAGATGGTTTTGCATGTGAAACAAAGACTAGTTAATACACTAGTGAGAGAGTTGCATGTTCGAGTTGAAGGCTCTACAAGGTGCTTCATTTGGCCTTGGATAGAGGTGTATGAAGAATCAATATTCGTGCTGCCAATCACATATGTGGGTAAGATGGATGTCAATGATTATATGTGATTATGTGTAAACCATGCTTTATGGAAGAGTATTAGGCAATCAAGAGACAATGAATCCATAGAATAAACCTGCCTATACTTTTCTATAAAGGTGGAAATCTGAGCTGGATCAGAAACTTGAAAATGGTAATACAACTCTTTGAACAGATGTCCAATCTGGCCCTTGAATTACCTAGGCTTACCTTTGGGAGACAACCCTAAGAAAGGTAATTTTTTGGAATCCGGTGGTGGAAAGATTTGAGAGGAGACTTGCTTCCTGGAAAAAGAACTATCTTTCTCTTGGTGGGAGGATCACACTAATTAGGGCTACCTTAGCCAACTTACCCATTTACTTCTTGTCAGTGTTCAAGATTCCAACAGAGATGTCTAATAGTTTGGAAAAGATAATGAGAGACTTTCTGTGGGAGCTAGGAGAGGAGAAGAGGCACCATAGAGTGGGTTGGGAGGTGGTGGTTAGAAGCAAGAGGTTAAGAGGGTTAAGGCTTGGGAACATTAGAAAAAGGAGTGTGGCTTTATTAGGGAAATGGTTATAGAGGTTCTCTTTAGAAAAGGAGAAATTGTGGGCTAAAATTGGTGAGCATTTATTGATAAAAAAAAATTGGTGAGAAATCATGGGCTGGAGGACAATGGATGGAATGCTGGAATTCTGGCAAGGACTACAAGTGCTTCACCCTGGAAAGCCATCCATGACTTATTACCAGTCTTCTCCCCTTTGATCAGGTATGATTTGAACTCAAGCAACCTCATAAAATTCTGGGAACAGACTTGGGTGGGGAATTCCCCATTGAAGGATCAGTTTCCATCATTGTGTGCTCTCTTTGGCCTGAAATGAGCCCATATCATCCTTCATTGTCCCTTCATCTTCAAACTCTAGGATTGGATGAAATTTGGGTTTGAGAAGGGCTGTTAGAGATACAGACCTGAACTGCACCTTGACTCTCCTAGGTGTTCTTGAAATTTTTTTCTTGGACCCCACAAAGAAGACACCAGAATTTGGACCCCCACACCCTCGGAATCTTTCTCTTGTGCCTCTTTCTTTAAAGTCTTGACTCAGCCAGACAGACCCGTAGGCTTACCTTTCCTTGTTAAAGAGATTTGGTACAAGCCAATTCCTCCTAGGGTTGGGAGTTTTTGTTGGGAATCATTTCAATGTAGAATCAACACTAGTGATCTGCTTCAAAGAAAAAAAAAAGACCCAAGATTTGTTTATCCCCTCATAGGTGTATTCTCTGTAAAGCTGAAGGGGAGACTGGTTATCACCTATTCACCTTCGGCTGTGTTTGGTTGCAGTGCAAATTTATTTGCACTAATACAAATGCATGGGAGTGCAAATGTAAAAAATGCAAATTCTTATTTAATTTTGTTTCGGGCTTTACTTTGTTTTGCTTTCGTGTCTTAATTTATTTCATTTGTACTGCAATCAAACAAACTAAGCTAAAATTTGAAGCAAAAACAGGTCAGAATTTACACTCAAATCATTTGCACCGCCATGGTTTTGCATCAGTACAAATTGATTTGCATCGCAACCAAACACAGCCTTCTGATTTCTTGCTAGTTTGCCAAAACTATTTGGGAATGGGCATTTTCCCTTTTTGGGATTGGGTGGATCCCCTGTGAATGTGCAGTCTTTTTTCTTCTTCATTCTTCAGGTGGCATTTGAAGAGAGGTAGGACTATGGAGATGCCTAAGGGCTGCTGTGGGAAGAAAGGAACTCAAAACTTTTCTCTGAAAGAGAGAGAAGCGTTGAAAATTTGATTCACATAAGGGTGGTACAGTGGTTGAAATCCTCGGATTTATTCACAGATTTTACAGTGGATGATTTGTTGACAAAATGGAGAGGGATTGCTAGCTGTGCCCAAGTCAAAACGGGTCTAAGTCTGTCTTGGGGAACGGGATCTGGTCCTCACAAATGGGTGCCTCACAGTCACATTCACCGCGCATTGGGAACATCTCCTGTGAATAATAACTTATAAGTACAGGAGATGTTCCCAATGCATGGTAGGATGTGCATTTGAGGTCAGTGTGAGGAGCAGATCCGGTCTCCTGTCTTGGACCCCTCCCCCCACTGGTTTTATAAAGCTGAACTTTGATGGTAGTAGTAGAGGGAACCTTGGGCATTCAGGCATTGAGGGTGTATTTAGGGACGAGAATGGAACTGTTTCAGCTTTGTTCTTAGGCCCAATTGGGGTAGGTGACTCTCTCAGGGCTGAGATTTCTGTGGTCTTGGAAGGTGCTCAAAGGGCAAAGGAAATGAACATTAGAAGGCTTGTAATTGAAGGGGGGATTCAGAGGTGGTGGTAGGGTGGCTAAAAGAAAAAATTCAGATGGTTGGTTAAGGACATGGAAATAAAGTTCAGTTGGGTGAAGAGATTTGCTAACTCATTTGCTGATGGGTTAGCCAAGCTAGGGGTGATCAGGGAATCTATATTTTGGGCTCAGTTGTAATTCTGGTCTTTCTCACTTTGGGGGCACTAGCCTCTGTTGGGGGAGTTAAGAGAGTTTATCTCCCCCTCTTTGTAATTAATTATTCTGCTTGATTAATGAAAGTTTTGTTATTGATCAAAAAAAGAATAAACCTACCTATATTTCCCATAGTGGGAACTTAGTTTCTTGCATTCTTCTTTAACTTAATAAAGTTCTCACTAGCAATAGCATTAGGGTACATCCCATTTTTAATAAAGGGGAACACTCTAGTGAATAGGCCAAAAGTGATATTTGAAAAGACAGGTACCCCCATGTGCCTTTATACTTTATAGGGTACCTTTTGTCTTTTTCACAAGGGGTGTTCCTCGTTTATCAAATTTGGGTGTGCCCTATTCATCCCTCATATATATATATATATATTTTTTTTGTGGTAAAAGCCTGGGAAGATCACCTTAGGAATTTGGAATGGCCTGAGTAATTTAAGGATTAGATTGAAAATAACATTTCTTGCAGGTCCACTAGCTAGGGTAATGCTTGTCTTTGTTCAGGTATGGCCCTCTATTTCTTTTGGTGAATTAACAATTCTAGTTTGGTTAGAAAACTGCATAGATGATTAAGAGAGAATGAGAGGCAAAGAAAAACAAGATAAAAAGGAATATTTTCTTATAATGACAGTATTATTAGCCAGTTAAACACTCTGGTCCACCTTGTTATCTTCAGGAGGTTTCTTCACCTTCCTATTCTTCCATTTGTGGAATTTTGGGGCCGTAGCATACTAGTTATATTTTAGAAAACAAATGCTGCCTTCTGTCTGTGGAGGTTGGAAAAATAAAGAGGCAAATGTGGTCGTCAGTCCTTAGTGAGTTCAGCAATTGCAATTTCAATAGTTTTAAAGGGTAGTGGGGCTCTATTATCTTAAATCCTCCCTCTGATAGTTTGCGTGCATGTCTCATCACCTTTTGTGTGTGTAGAGAACGAGGATGCATGTATGGCATTTCCAAGTATATAACCCGACTTCCGGTCATTGGCTACTGCAGTGGTTTATTGGTGCTGAATTTTTTTTTTTTTTTTTAATATGATCTCTGCCTTTGTTTCCTTTTTTTCTCAGATCCTTCTATTTACATGTTGCTTACTAGTTTCAGCTTTTGTCATGTGTTTTTTTTTTTAAGCTTTTATTATATGTTAAAGCATATGCACATCTGCGGATGTAGCAAAAATGTCGTCTGTCAAGATAAACCTTAGATATTGTCCTATTGTTGATTCTAGTCAACATGGGTTATATGGTCGTCATCTGGACTTCGAAATAATAAACCACATCCTGGATAAGTCACACAATGTCAAAACACTGGATTCTTTATCCAACTGGCATCAGATGGATCTACCTCTAGTTTCTGTATAAATCAAAGCTCTTGATTGGATGGATGTGACGACTACATCTGGGGCTGAAAGGCAATTGATGCCTGACATTCAGATACACTGATATGATTAATCATTGTCTCCACATCCTGATCGACCACCAAAGTTTGTGTGTGCATGCGCATCTCATTAACCATTATTCAATTATCACGGGGTCATATTTCCTTTATCTTTGTTGGCTTATCTGATATATGTCTAACATTATTATGTATATTGCTGGCAAAAAAATGGTCAGGGAACGGCTGCCGGAGGCACCACAGAGATTGTAGTTAATGGATCAACAGGTTTGTTGCATCCTGCTGGAAAAGAGGGTGTCACACCTCTTGCAAAAAACATGGTTAATTTTGCCACACATGTTGAAAGGAGGCTGACAATGGGAAGAAAAGGATATGAAAGAGTAAAAGACAGGTTTTTGGAACACCACATGGCACAGAGAATAGCGTTGGTTTTAAAGGAAGTGTTGCACAAGGCCAAGGGCCACTTTTAGGTTGCAATGCCTGAGCCCCTCTACCATCAAATGGAAAATTTAACATTCTTGATTTTAGTTCGGAAAGTTGGGAGTAAATCACTTTTAAGTGCTAGTATCTGATACTTCCCAAATTAGGTTGTATGACTTGTATCATTTTTCCCTTCATCATTTCCTTTATTTTCTTCTCTTATGGTTTGAAATTATGTCTGTACATAAAGAAATGTTTCAGCAGTCAATTTGTTCCAAGTCTCAACTTCCACATCATCTCCTACTGTTCAGACCTTAAAAAACAATCTATTAAGCTCGATACTTTAACGGAAAACCGTGGATTGGATTTGGCAGAAATCAGGTTCCACTAATGGATGGAGGGATCTCGCTGGAACAATCAGTACAGTAGAAACTTTCAACATTCTGTATGTAATCTGGGAGATTTGGAAATGTAGAAACTCCAATTTCCAAAGATTCAAGCACCTTAGCTAGTCATGCCATGCTTCATACAATTTTTACCCCATTAACCAGAGCTCGATGGCCTTTCATAGTTTCATGGGTGATTAGACCTGGCAATTGGGTTGGGTGGGTCGGGTTTGGGTTGGGTTAAGGTACTTTGGGTTGATTTCGGGTCAGGTTGTCAAGTGCTAGACCCTAACTCGAATATTTAGGGTTAGGGTTGACCTATGAGTCAATTCGGGTCATTCCAAAAAATAATTGAAATTAAAAAAATAAAGAAAAATTACATGAAAAATGTCAAAATTAAAAGAATTAACCTTAAAATTCTAAATATAAAATAAAAAAAATTGAACATTTAACAATTTAAAGAATAAATAATAAAAAATAGAGACTAAATAGAAAAAATTAAAGAATGGAGACTTCTAACAATCCATAAATAATCCCAATTAGACTTGACAATCGGGTCAATGGGTTGATCCATAACTTAACCCATTTTTTTGAATCGGGTCAGGTCATATTCACATTCGGATAGCAAAATATGAGACTCTTGCCTTGTTTTTTCGGGTTGGGTTGGGTCGGGTTCGTGGGTTGGGTCAACTTTTTGCCAGGTCTATGGGTGATCTTGTTTTAACGATTTTGACATCTTTAGTTTCTGATGAGAACGGGAAAAGAGAGATAGAGAGGGGGTCAGGGGAGGGAGCGGGTTGAAGACGGTATTTGCTCTCTCTCTCTCTCTGCACCATTAAGGCCTCATACATCGTTAAAATTTCAAACCTGGTAAGAGAGTGACGTGGTCCTTTAAGATTGGAGGTCGCTGGTTTATGCAGCAACTGCGGGTGCGGCAGATGTAAGCTCCATTAAGGCATTAGCCAAGGAGGTTTTTAAATAAAAAGACAAATGCTATAGGCCCTCTAATAACTAATAATCCTGATACAACATGATTTATTACATATAACTTACTGTTATACATAATGTTTTTCATACATTACGTTTTCTTTTACAACCTATTCACTTTCGCAATCAAAATACTTTATACAAAAAGTAGCGTAATCCTAATTCCTAATTTCTCAATGTCAGTTTTGCCCACCGAATTGAATATTATTATTTTCTTATTTTTCTGAACATTTTTGTCCTTTAAATAAATAGTCTATATTTAAAGGGTGTTTTTCAATATGTATGATTTTGTTTTTTCAAGACATAAATCAATTGCCACATCAGGCGAATGCCCTTAGTTGGTTTTGTATTTACTTCTTGGCTCAGTTTGGGAAGAATACATATACAAATATGTGAGAAATTGCAAATACAGGTTTTGAAATACAAAATATATGGTTTTGAAATATAAAATATTTATATTTGCATTTTTTTCAAACTGAGTTTTAATTCTTACAAATTGTGTTGCAGCAATTTTCACTTTGAAGTAAATAGAATCAATGTTCAAAATATCGATACGCCCGATACGCTGGTAGGGACGTATCGGATGAATCAATACCCTTTTATTTTACTTTTTTTTTTCAAAACCGGTTCAGGGAGGCCAATTTAGGGCTTCTCTACCCCTTGAACTGGTCAAACCCCCGATACACCCACTATAATGATATGTACCAGTCGATATGGGCCAATATATATATATATCGATACTTTGAACCTTAAATCCACTTCTTTTGTCTTCAAATTATGAAGTTTTTCTCTTTTATTTATCGTATCATTGTGGAGATAACTAAGAGGTTCTCTGTGTGTCTTGCGCGTTTAAAGCTTAACTAGCTCACATCTAAGTATTGCAAGCAAGTTAAGAACTTGTTAATATGCAGGACCGTGAACAATTTATGGAGATAGCAACTTAGATCAGAGTAAGGGATGAAGAAATGACCATAAAAAAGTAAATGACTATTCATCCAAATAAATAAATAAATAAACAAACAAATAAATAAAGGCCTGTTAACAGCTGACTTAGTTGAATTAAAAACTGAAAAACTTAATGCTTTTTATTGCTTTGTCTTTTAGTGAAGAGGTCATGGGCTCCTCAATGGTTTTGGTCGTAGAACAGTGGCTCAAACTGAACTTGGATAGATTGTTCCATGGGACAAGCTGGTTCAGCAGTCAATTTGTAGGGGTGTTCATAAAAAACTGAAAACGAACTGAATTAAAAAAAATGAATCGAAAATACAGTTAATTAAACCGAATGGTTCAATATTTTTCAAAAACTGAAGGATCGGTTTGGTAGTTAACCAAACCAATCGGTATATATTATATGTATATATGCATTATATTTTTAATATATATCATATATTATCTATATATTATATTTATAATTATCTATTTATAATATATTTATATATTTATTTATAATATATATTTTAAATATAAAAAACTGAAACTGAAACCGATCAACTGATTGATTGATAGTACCAATTCGGTTTTGGTTCAGAAAATTAAAAAAAAACCCATAATTCCGGTTCAATTTCAAAAAATAACCCACAGTTGGATCAACCTAAGGATGAGCACCTTTATACTTGGGATCAAATCCCACTGTCATTAACTCGTTACAAAGCAGCCAAAGTTAGGCACATCCAAATTAGAACCATTATAGTGGTTATGTGCATCCTGCTCTTCATAGGAATACAGCATGTGATAAAATAAAACATCCATATACCACGCCATCTCTCATTTCAGTTTTTTCAGTTGGTGTTGGCTGGCCATTTTTAATCAAAAGTTTGGATTTGCTCCTCACAGAGCGCATCTCACACTGATCTTACAACACGCTTCAGTTGTGTATTAGAAACATCTTTCCATAAATAAATATTTTCAAGCACGAAAATGTTCATGTTGCATGACTAAACGTGCTGTGAGGCACGTTTTATAAGGAGCATATCCTAACTCATTCAGTCAGATATCATCTCCGGAGAGTGGAGAGAGTTTCCACTGTTGAAGCTCTTCCTCGTAATGATGTATCACTACCGTCAAACTTTTACTCCTCACCCAGTTGCATTACTCGGAATTCACAGTTTTTATCAGATGCTTGAATTGCTCTATCACCCACTTGAACCACTTCATTAGCAAGATCTGAGATCTTTTTCTAACAAAACACATTCCAATCCTCTACTGATTTCATCTAACACCGTACATCTTACCATGAGAGTGGGACCCACTATAAAAGTGGAACCAGCCATGTATGAGATATGCAGTGTGAGATGTTACTAGGGCATTGGAACATATGAACTCTAGTCCAGCATTCTCTTTCTAATTGTCCTCCTCTTTCGAAATGACCTTACTCTCACAAAACACTCCTCACACTGATCTTGGCATGTCCTGGCCGCACATTGGTGATGAATTCGACTTCCATCAGGGCATAGCCCATTCGAGCATTTAGAATATCTCCTTGCCTATATGCTTTATTTCATTTCATCAGGGCATAGCCCAATACGTTGTGGGCACGGGCTTGCCCCTGATGGAAGCCGATCTCATCGGTGACCTCTCCTATCATGGGAAGATATTCCCAATACATGATTGGATGTGGCTGGTCGGGGTGGGGAGCATATCCCAATTCCTCTTTCTCAACACCCTGTCATGCAAGGGTAATTTTGGCATTTACTAATGTTGATAGAATAACATCGGCATTTTTCTGTTATCTTACGGTGTCACAAATGACAAACCTTCAAAGTTCGTAATTTTCAGGGTGTGGTTCAGCGACTCAAAAACTTCAGTGGAGATTCCAGCAATTTACCCATTAAATGTTATAATTCTTTGCCTCCGCTGCAAGGCAACTCGCTAGCTAGCAACTGAAAACTCAAAAGAGCAGAAGGTCAGAAACTCGCTTTGATAATTGGACTTTGGATACTCTCTGAATCTAAAAATTATGGACGAAGACGCTGCCCGTCGCCGGACCGTCATTGCTGAGTATCGGAAAAAGCTTCTACAGCACAAGGAGCTCGATGCCAGAGTAAGAGCAGGTTCGTACAAATCAGGATCAGAAAACCTATTTTTTTTCCTATTTATCACATCCAAGGGCAATCCTTTCTATAGACCCATATAGATGGGGCAAGACTTAGATGATGATGAGATCCTCTCCGAAGCTTAGATTTAGTAGGAAAAAGTTCATTGACAAAATTACTAGTTAAGCATTTTAAATTAAATAGGTAACGTGTCCAAACTGCATTTAGTTCTTTTGTGCGTTTTTCTTTGGGTTTGTATTGAATACTTGGTGGTTAATTACCGTGATATTTTATATGACTGGGGATTTACAAATTGGGGAAGGGAACAAAAAGAAAGCCCTCCGCCTAGACTCTAAAGAAGGAAACGGAACAAAGAGAGTTGTTCTGTAACTAGCTATAGGAAAAGAAAAGAGGGTTCTTGCAAATGTACCTGTGGAAGATGTATCCATACAGAAGTCAGCACAAATTGTGCCGTATATAGATATTTGCTCTCCTTGTTTCTGTGCATCAGTTATAATGTCATTTTGGAAAAGCACACACAGGTGATGCTCAATAAGTGGGGATGGCATGCCTTCTGTTAGTAACTGCAACATTGCATGCTTATGCTATGTCATGGATATGGTCACATGGTAGCAAAATTTTAATTTAGAGACTTTCTTGGAATAAATGGTACCATACTTAAGGAACTACATTTCCTTTATTGGTGAACAACAACAACGACAATAAAGAAAATGAAACTTATCTGATCAACTGAGATCATATGATGTGATGATAACATCTATTCATTGAACTGACATGGTATCTGTATATTTAATTATTTTCACTTTGAACTTTTGATTTGTGTTCACAGTAATTACTACACAATAAACCATGTATTGGTTTATGTATATGAATGCTAAATGGATGACTCTTACTTTACCTTGTTCTTAATGTTATAATTTCATCAACTTGAGCATGACATTATTTTGTGAAACAATAACCCATACAAACCTTACTTCTTCTTCTTCTTCTTCAAAAAAAGAATCTCTTTACCCCACCGATTATGCCAATAGACATAAATAATTGCACTGAAACTGAAAATGTGCAGTGAGGGAGAATTTACGTTCTGCAAAGAAGGAATTTGCTAAGACTGAAGATGATTTGAAGTCACTCCAGAGCGTTGGACAGATCATTGGTGAAGTTCTGAGGCCCCTTGATAATGAGCGATGTAGGTTCTCATTCTCCTTGGAATCCACTAATAATTGTTTGAAAGTTGTTCGCAAAACTTCATGTCAAAAAAATTCCCTTTTGTTTCAATTTATGTTTTTATTATGCTAGAGGATATTGATGTATTTTGAAGAACTACCAATATAAGATATACTTTTTTTATTAAAAAACAACAGATTTTTAAAGATGACAAAAGACAAAGGCTTTTGAGGAAGTTTGATGATTGTCCCTGATGGCATTTTACGAGCTGTTGCTTTTCTGTCCATTTTTTGACATTCTCTGACTACCAGCCAACTCATTAAAGTGCATTTTGATTGATTGGATTTCTGTTTTATTCTCAGTGATAGTTAAAGCAAGTAGTGGTCCAAGGTACGTTGTTGGATGTCGCAATAAAGTAGATAAGGAAAAGCTGGCAGCAGGAACTAGAGTGGTTCTCGATATGACAACCCTCACAATAATGCGAGCCCTTCCACGTGAAGTATGTTATGATGTTAACTTGTTTGAAAAGCACCAGAAATTGGAAATGAAAGGCACTAGAATTCTAGAAATTGGAATACTGCTAGTTAAAGTCTTATTTCATAGTTTCATATATATGAAATGGGAATGGAAAATGAAGTCCTAAGTCATGAAGATTTTGGTAATGAGGCAGTTATTATTGGTTCCAGGTTGATCCAGTTGTTTACAACATGCTTCATGAAGATCCTGGTAATGTTAGCTACTCCGCTGTAGGTGGATTATCTGATCAAATTCGGGAACTCAGGGAATCTATTGAGTTGCCTCTTTTGAATCCTGAACTCTTTCTTAGAGTAGGGATCAAACCCCCAAAGGTAATATTTTTATTATGTGTAAGTTTAAATAACTTAGAATTCTTTGTTTGTTGGGTTATCAAGAATCTTTTTTTTTTTTTAATTGTGTATGTGTATTAGAAATATTTTGACTATTAACGATCATGATTTCAATGGTCTCAGGGTGTTCTTCTGTATGGACCTCCTGGAACAGGCAAAACGCTGTTAGCCAGAGCGATTGCAAGTAACATAGATGCAAATTTCTTGAAGGTGGGTCAATTTACAAGAATTTTTTGATTTCATCTATAATCTATTCATTTTGTGTTATGGTATTGCCTGAACCGTTTGAAATGACCTCAGGTTGTATCAAGTGCTATAATTGATAAATATATTGGAGAAAGTGCAAGATTGATAAGAGAGATGTTTGGGTATGCACGTGATCACCAGGTAACTTTTCCAGCTCTCCCAAATTACTCTTTTAATTGATGAGTGTTATTTTTTTTTTTGTTTTTTAACGTATAGTATTTCATTGCTGTTAATTGATGTGTTATTTGAAAAAGGTTTCATTTTTAATTACTTTTTTCATGGGATTTTTTAACTGAAAGTTTGATTTTGTTGTTCTTCTTTTGCTTGTCAAGCCTTGCATAATATTTATGGATGAAATTGATGCCATTGGCGGGCGGCGATTTAGTGAGGGAACAAGTGCAGATCGTGAGATACAGAGAACATTGATGGAGCTACTGAATCAGCTTGATGGTTTTGATCAGCTTGGGAAAGTATGCATCCTCATAACCTGGTTTAACATGCTTGTTTTAAGAATTTTGGGCGAAGTAGGAGAGAGTGTGTTATCAATGTTGGCTGGTGTTCTCTTTCTTTCTTTCCTTATTGTGGAGGGTGGGGAGTTCATATCCAATTTTGAAAGTGAGGATATTCATCAATCTTTTGAACCATGTCATAATTAAAACTATTTAAAATACCAAAGTGACATATACAGAGAAAACATTTCCAACAATATTCCACAAATTCATATTGTACAGTAAAAAGATTAAAAAGAAAAAGGGAGAATTCAATATTCACCCAGTCAATCTATGTGGAAACTAGATTAGCTTGATGCTTTGATTGTTTTACCATCCTGGTTCAAAGGTCTTTCCTGAAGAGTCTGGTTTATAGCAATTTGTAGGTTGGTCTTTATTCAAGCTACACATTTTTTGGAGGTCTTGTTTCTTGATTGCCCAATACTGCTCCATACAACATTGTTGACAATTTTATAAAATTTTCCTTTCATCACATAGGGCTCTAGATGCACCCTTCCATTTTGCCCATCTGACTCTAATTATATGGGCAATATCCTTCTCAATCTAGCTCACGAAATAGGTCACATTGAGATATCTCTTGGTCTCCAATACTAATTGTCCATGATTACCTTGTTATCATCAGATTTTAAATTGCATAAATTCTGCTTTGGCCCTACTGAAAAATTTAAACATCATATTTCTAAGGTATCATCTATAAATCTCAACTTTTCTATCAATACTCTTAATAAGAAGATGGCTTCCATGGTTGATCTCCTTGGCATAAAACCAAATGCTGGTCTTATAAGTGTCTTATTTAACCAAGGTAGCGGGAGTGGGTGGTTTGGTATCTTCTGATCATCAATTTTGATCTCACCACCATTGCTACTACTGTTTTTTATACTAAAATTTGTAATACATGTATTTTGTCCTAGGCCAAGTCATCTTGAAATGCTTTGATTCTAAAGCATCTGTCCATTAGCTGTGTTCAGCGGCTTCAGCCCTTGTTTAGTCTTGTCAATCAATGCTATATCATTAATGAACAACATCCACCACCACAAGACTTCTTCTTGAACCCAAAGTGTTGGAGGCTTTAACTTCCAATCTAACAAAATTTCAAAACATCTAAATAAAATAATACAGGACTATGCCCTCCTCGAAATTGAGTCCAAAGGGGTTAGATATACTTGGTCCAATGGCAAAAAAGGGAATTTGTGTGTTAAAGAGAAATTAAACAGGGATTAGCAACACCTGTCAGGTCCAAGAAGCAAAAATCCGAGCCTACAGAAATATTTTCTCAGACCATGCAACACTTCTAGTAGACACTCACACAATATCAGGTCCAAAACAATTTCATTTTCTACCCATGTGGACCGAAGAGAAGTGTAAAAAACATTATTGAAGAATAACGGAACCAGGAGCATAAGCAAGGAGATGTGTGCCAAAAATTGAGGAATTGCAAAGAGGAACTCAAAAAGTGGAATAGGGAAAAATTTGGACATATTGAAAAAAGAACTGAAAGAAGTGGAGGAAGAAATATTGAAGATGGAGACAACCAGGGAATCCAGTGGTAGTAAAAAAAGAATGGATCTGATGAGAGAATATGAAACCTGGTTGAGAAGGGAAGAACAACTGTGGAGGTTAAAATATAGGGAACTCTGGCTAAGGGAAGGGGGCGGAAATACAAGGTATGTCCACCAACTAGCAAAATTTAAAAGAAAAAGAAATTCACTAGAATTTTTGAAAAATGATGAGGGTAATGTCCAAACATTGGAAGAAATAGCCCTAGCTTTCAAGCAACATGCAATCCTTACAAGTGGTCCCCAACTAGAAGAAGAATTTGAAATCCGAAACCTGATACCAAACAAGATTTTAGAAACTGAGGCTACAGAATTAGTCAAACTGCCATCAGAAGTGGAAATCAAAGGAGTAGTCAAGTCCATGAGAGCTCACTTTGCACCAGGACCAGATAGCTTCACACCCTTCTTCTACCAGAAATATTGGGGAACAATAAAGCATACACTTGCAAACTTGTTAGAGAATTCTTTGATTCATGCTGAATACCCCAAAACCTAAATTCCACTAACCTTGTATATATCCTAAAAGTCAAAAACATAGAAAAAATTCAACAATACAGACCCATAAGTGTCTGCAATGTGTTGTATAAAATAGTAGCCAAACGCTTGGTCCTCAAGATGTAACCCCTCCTTGATAAATTAATTGCCCCCAATCAATCAACTTTTATAAAAGGAAGACAAGGAGTGGATAATATTCTGGTGGCAAAAGAAATAGTCCACAAGCTAAGAAAACAAAGAAAAGAAATAGTCCAATGCTTATGATAGCATGAGGAGGGATTTTATTGTTGAGATGTTGAAAGAAATGGGATTTACAGAAAAGTGGTGTCAATTAATAAAATCTTGTATAAATACCCCCACAATCTCCATAAAATTCAATGGCACCCAAAAGGAACACTTCCAACTCAATAATGGGATCAGGCAAGGTGATCCATTATCACCTTACATGTTCATAATACGCATGCAAGCTCTCTCCAGCCTTCTTGAAAGAGCGGAGCAGAATAAGGAGTTATAGGGTATCAAAATCTACAGAGGAGGTATAGCAATTAGTCCTGTTTGCTGATGGCTATCTAATAATGTGCAATGCAGAACCAGCTCAGGTGAAGGAAATCCTGAAAAAGTTTGAGGAAATTTCAGGGGAAGAAAATAAATCTAGCAAAATCAGGGGCCATGTTTAGCAACTGTTTACATAGGAAAAAAAAGAAAATATTACTTCATGYGCTACAAATGAAATCATTAAAAGCTCAAAAAAGGTACCTAGGAGAGAARCTCTATTTACAAGGAAAACCTGTTTTGTCCCATCAGGAGATAATGGAGAAGATAAACTCTAAAGTAGCCACTTAGAAAGCAAAATTTCTGTCACAAGCAGGCAGAACAATTCTTGTCAAGTCAGTTTTGCAGGCCTTGCCTACATATACAATGTCCACCCTTCCTCTTCGTCTCAATTCAAAACCTACTAGATGCCTTCTCTAGGAAGCCTATCATATGTTTCTTAATCATCAAATACCTGGTGGAGATTCTCCTCTACTCCCTAAACTTTTCTATTAATCTCCTAAATAAAAAGATAGCTTACATCTTCCCCCTCACAAAAAAGGGGAAAGTAAAGAAGAGAAAATAGATTCAATTGGAGGGAAAAAAAACAAATTATTGTAGAAAGATATTTATGCATTGAAACTGTAAGGATGCGATTGTATTTGGGATCTCCAAAACTGCTGTTTCAGTGTTAGGGGTTTCTATTAGCATTAGATGGTTGATCACTTGATTTGAATTAGTATTGCCAATACTTTTATTGATTTTACAAATGACCCATTGAATGCAAGATCTGGTTGTTGCAATGGAATAGGTCAAAATGATTATGGCAACAAATCGACCTGATGTCCTGGATCCTGCACTTCTTCGTCCAGGTCGCCTAGACAGAAAAATTGAGATCCCATTGCCTAATGAGCAATCAAGAATGGAGATCCTAAAAATTCATGCCGCTGGAATTGCAAAGCATGGAGAAATTGACTATGAGGCAGTGGTAAAACTTGCAGAGGTGAATTCTTTGTCTTTGAGAAGCACATAGATTCAGTTTTTTTTTTTTAATTTAAATTTAAACGTTACACATTGTCAGGTATCTTATGACTTTCATCCATTGCAGGGATTTAATGGAGCCGATCTTCGAAATGTTTGCACTGAAGCAGGGATGTCTGCAATCCGTGCTGAACGTGATTATGTCATCCATGAAGATTTTATGAAGGTAAATCTTTTTCTCCTTTTTGCCAAGAATGAGGGCATGTGCATGTGAAGCATGAACCATGTCAATATTCTTTAAAAGATTGATGCTTGAATTTGTTGTAGTCCCTTTGATGCATCTCTCATTCCAACTGAGTGTAACCTTTCCGATGGGGAAATTTACTAGTTATCATGGTTGTATGGTTGTTACTACTGTATTTGGCATTTTCAGTTTTACTTAGATAGTCATTTAATAAGAATGTATGATGTCACTATTCAATCTGATGAAAATGGACAGATATCGTGAAAATAAACTTAAAGCATTATTAACAACCTAAGTGTCAGGATAGAGCCATTCTAACATGAATTACAGTTGATAATGGTATTGCATTGATTACTTGGTATAATGCAACTTTGCTATGATTATAACTAAATATTATGAAAGAGTTAACTCTCAACAAGGTTAAAATACTCTCTTAACAAGCTTTTGTTCTAAAAGGTTTGACCACCAAGGATGATCCTTGGTTGGGCCAGGCTCCATCAAAGACGCAATATATTGAACACTTAAAGGAGATGAGTGTATCTAAGTGCACTTTGACTACAGCATGTCATAGCCTATGTTATAGTTGACTAATCAAAATTGGCCATGTTGCTCATGTCTAAATGCTCTAATAATGTGAAATCTTCTTTCAAAGATGGGTGACATGGCCTTTTGTAGCCAAAGTGAACTAAATCCATCTTTTCTCTGGTTATGCATGTGAGACATCTTGGCGTCATCTGTAGTAATTGTCCATGGTTAAGAGTCTGTTGATTTTTCATGTAAAGTTACTACTATTATGACTAGTTTCAGTGTTTTTCCTTTGATTTAGCTTCTAAGGTTCATTTCTTTCAGCACTCAACCACAACTGGTTTTTCTATATACTAGTTAAAATCATCCTTTTTTTCTAGTTTTTCTTTATAGTTATTATGTTGCTCCTCATTTCCTTTTGGTTCCACCAGTTTCTAACATAGAAAGAGCTGAAAGATTGCATCTTTTTTATCTGAAATATTCTGGTTACTTCCTAACTCCTTTTTCAGTGTAAAGAAAGTATTCTGGTGAAACAAAATACACTCTTTTTTTTTATAATTGAAACAAAATGCACTCTTAATAACAAATAGAATACATTTGCTAATTCACCAAGTAAAGTTGGTTGCAACTTGAAGGATATTTTTATGCATGTTGAACAGAAAGGTGTTTACTATGAATTTTAGGAAAAGCATTTGTGCCAATTCTTTTTTTTTTTTTTGTTTTTCTATGGGGTAAATCTATGATGCTGTAAAGGTATGGTATGGACCAATCCCCCCGGTGAAGTGTGATGAATACCAAATAATTTCTTACCAGTTGATTGGCTTTTCAGATATCGTGCTTTTCTGGTATCATAGTTAGACTCTTGTATGGGATCTCGGTCATTTTATATTTTTTAGATAATTTCTACGGTACTTAAAAGAGTTTAACCAATCAGAATCACAGGTGAATTTGAATAGAATACCGGTTAATTGGTTACTACTTTGTTATGTGTACCATACTTTTTTCGGTGCAATAGCAGTACCCTTTTATTTAATATTAAGAATGCTCGCATCAGAATCGCAAGTGAATTTGAATGGAATGCCAGTTAATCGGTTACTACTTTGTTATGTACCATACTTTTTTGGGTACGTACTCTTTTATTTAACATTAACAATACTCTTTATGTCACTTTTATATTGTCAATTGAGAAACCAATGTATTTACCCAAAGAAAAGAGAGAGAGAAACCAATGCTCACATCCTATGGGCTATGGCTGATTTGTTTGTGTGGAAGTTGATGCTTTTCTTGTTTCTTTTGGTCAGTTTCATAGAACCATTGGTTTGTTACACTTTGTATCACTTTTTTAAACATTTGGTTATTCCCCACTAAAGTGCTCTGCCGTTTACTGCTGTCAGGCTGTCCGCAAACTGAACGATGCCAAGAAACTTGAATCAAGTGCTCATTACAATGCTGATTTTGGAAAGGATTGATGATGAATCGGAAGATACACTCTGCGTCAAACCGGGCAGTGCATTCATAGTTTGTTATGTATTTCTTTCATCCGACAAGAATTTCAAAATCTATTGTATTGATCTTGTAACCATGTTCTTTGGCGGCAGCTCCAACAAAGAGTTATCTTTTGCCAAAGATGAAGCAGGGCGAAGTGCTCCATTCTCTATAATCTGTACCAATTAATATCCGATGTGGATAATGGAGTTGGGACAAGTACCAGTCTACTACCCCTCACGAGTCACGACACATTGCCTGGTTGTGGCCGGAGAAGAGGTTTGTTTTCCAGGAAGTGGGGGAGGGTAAGTTGGTAGGTCTTACGGAAAAGAAATAAATTTGCATTCATTTTTTGGTATTAATAGATTCCATGAAAAAGAACAATTCCCAAGCGGTTCATTTATTTGGTGAACCGTGAAGTAATATTCTCTTAGAAGTTGGGTAAATTATTTGTGTGCCGAAAATCACTAATATGTAATGGGATAATATTATCCCTTCAATAATGTCATTTTTTTTTTATACCGGATAAATGTATTTACTCAGATAAGTTATTTATCGAAATTCCAAGGAGACCTATATATGGATCTTATCGGTCATGACTCGTAACTATTGCCCTATTGGTAGGTTTTTTGAAGTTGAAAATATGACGCAATAAGGTGTTTGATTTTATTTGGTTAATTGGTTTCTCAGGGTGTTGTGTCCTATTTGAATTTATTTGCTCCAGGTCTTGTTTTACTTCTTAAGCATTGCAAAATAAACAGAACAAAAGCAAACCAAAATTTTGCACTGGACACATTTGCACTCCTATCAATAAAAAAAAAAAAACCTTGCGATTATTTTTACACCAGTGCAAATGAAACTGAACTGCAAACAAACTTGGCCCTAAACTCAATAAATGTCATCTATCAAAGAAAAAAACATAAATATTCAATAAATGTCGTGTCCCCATACAAGGGTTTTGGTGACGCCAATAACTAAGATAACTAGAGAAACATCTGGGCCCTTTTGGGTCTCCAATACCATGAAAAAAAGTCCTCGACCAGTTAGTCTCCACCAAATGGCCTAACTAGTAAAACTATTTGACATCTCCATACAAATTATACTTATGTGTTCCAATCGATATTAAGGCTCAGTTTGGAAGGAGTACAAATGCAATATCTAGAGTGTAAAACATTGCATTTTATATTATTTTGTATGTATTTGTGCTTTGTTCAAACAAATACAAAATTTTGCACTCTACATATTTGTATTTGTATTCCTTCCAAACTGAGCCTAAGGTTGTGTTTGGTTGTAGTGCAAATTTATTTGCATTAGTATAAATGGATGGGAGTGCAAATGTAAATTCTTGTTTAATTTTGTTTTGGATATTACTTTATTCTGTTTCATGTCTTAATTTTCTTCATTTGTACTGCAATCAAACAAAATAAGCTAAAATTTGAAACAAAAATATGTCAGAATTTACATTCAAATCATTTGCACTGCCATGGTTTTGCATCAGTGCAAATTTATTTGCATTGCAACCAAACACAGCCTAAGGGGCATATTTTGTGGACACGTTGCCATTGCCATGGTTTCCTAGCTGAAGTTCATCCGTGAATCCAATGTTGGGCACTTTTGGGATCAGACAACTTCACAACTTTGCCCAAGTATCTCTAGGTCTTTTATGGCTTTTCTCTAAACAATTTGACTGGCTCCTAGTCCTAGAGTCCTAGACCTAGCAATTGGGTTGGGTGCGTTAGGTTCGGGTTGGGTCAAGATACTGCGGGTTGAATTTTGGGTTGGGTCAGCAAGTGCTAGACCCTAACCCTAAAAGTTCATGTTAGGGTTGACTCACGGGTCAATTTGGGTCATTCCTAAAAATAATATAAAATAAAAAAATACATGAAAAAATGTCATAATTAAAGGAATTAACCTTTATTCCAAACATAAAATAAAAAACACTTGAATATTCAACAATTCAAAGAGTAAATGATAAAAAGTAAAGACTAAATAGTAAAGATGAAAGAAAGTAAGCTTTTAAGAATACATAAATAGTCCCCATTAAACCTAACAATTGGGTCAGCGGATTGATCTCATAACCCAACTGAATTCAGATAGCTAATTATGAGACCCTAACCCTATTATTCGGATTGGATTGGATTGGGTCAACTTTTTACTTGGTATACTGGCTCCACTATTTGGTAACTCTAAATATTCTGCCGCCCCAATTTTATATTTTCTCTAATTTCTTCGGTAAGTATACTTGCCCAAATTAATAAAGTCAAAAACCCCTTGTAGTTGTATAAGATTCAGACATTATAACAAGAAAGTGAACAATTTTTAGATTATATAATTGGTTAGTGGTTGGCGTCGGTTGTCTATTCAAATCTATGTACCCACCTCTCTCTAGGGTCTAGATAATATATATAGACGTTTCGTATCGGATATCATGCAAGATTAGAAAGCAAGACCAATGTAATTAAACAGCTCAAACATCAATCCAAGTGTTTATTAAAGTTTACAAAGATTAGTTCTCACCACTGTTTTGAAAACAAGACTGGATTGGACACAGTTGGACGGTTCGACCTGGGAATGGTCAAACCACTAAACCATCGTGGGTCATATTTTATGGTGTATGGGGCATCAAACTGATTTTCAAAATCCATATTTGATCTGATATGCCTCATTACTTTGTATTTATTTAATTTCGATGATATTTTTCATTATTTATATATTTTTTGGTTTATTTTTAGAATTCATAAATATTTTTTCTTTTATTTTATTCATGACGTCATGGATATAGAATTGCTTGACCCAGATGGTTGAACTGATGATCTAAAAAATGATGGTCAAAACGGTTCCATTTTCAGAACAGATTGGCATTCCACACACGTCCCACGCACATCTCAACATACATTAAAAACATGTCCCATAATTGTCCTGGGGAGATGTTCCTCGTACACCGTTGGGATATTCTGTGGGGCGCTAATGCGAATTCCTTTCCTGCTTATTTGACATGGTTATATTCTTGCAGGTTTGACCAGAAATTTCATAAACATTTATGATTGGTTAATTAGCTCCTCATTATGATCTGTTGGGCTATCAAATTAAAATGATCCCTCGCCTCTTGTACTTAATTAGGAAATATTGATGGTATTGCAAACAGTTCCAAACCACCTTCTTAGTCTATTACTATTAATGCAAGAAAAAGATGACGGAACTTTCCATGTCTCTATAATCTATAACTTGTCAACCCTAATCAGATCAGTTACAACTTCAAAATAATCTGGGGAAGTGGTATTTCAGATAGATGATGTATCACCTAATTCTTTGTAGGTCAAAGGTCAACATTCTGTAATCAGGACAGGATTTGTGTTAGGACTGGCTTAATTAACTAGAACTCCAATCCCAAATGCTTTAATTTGATCATGGGACACTGCCTACTGGTTCAACGGGATTGAATCAATCTGCTCCACTGGCTTAGCCCTGGGTTTTAAAACTGTTCTCATCCTTATCAGCTTCCCCAGAATGCTGACTGCACCATATATGGTATTGTGATTAGTTCAGATGTCTCATTTATAAAACATTTTTGAATGTGCCACTAACAATTCCTCTGTAAAGTCAATGAGATCATGCAGTATATAAGGAGAAGAAATCCTCCCCTTTTGTTCCATAGAGACAGATCAATCGGTTGATTGAGTAGTAAACCAATCTTGATAATTGACCCAAGTCTCAAAATGAAGGCTTTGGTATTTCTGTATCTTCTGGCCTTTGGGTTTTGGACCTTAGGTGCCACGGCTGATCATATGGATGGTGAAGAGACTGAGTCTCCTCATGGAGATCAGGGTGATTATCATCAGCAGTACCAGGGTCTAAGCTTCGATTACTACAGCAGTACGTGTCCCCAAGCTGAGACTCTTATTGCTGAAACGCTGAAGGATATAGTAAGCAAGGACATAAGAGTTCCTGCTAGGATGATAAGGATGCATTTCCATGACTGCTTTGTGAGGGTAAGTACTAAACTAATGATAGTACACCATGATTTACTACACCGTGATTTACTTACTGTGTTTAATTCTGTAGGGCTGTGATGGATCAATTCTGCTAGACTCTACTCCAGGAAATAAAGCTGAGAAAGATGCACCCCCAAACAATCCTAGTCTTCAAGGCTTTGAAGTGATTGATAAACTTAAAGCAGTTCTGGAAAATAACTGCCCTGGAGTTGTGTCATGCGCAGATATCCTGGCATATGCAGCTAGAGAAAGTGTTTATCTGGTAAGAAGGCTTGCTTTATATATTTCCATCTTCCATGAATGATTAATTAAACACTCATGATCAGGATTCATGAACTTATTTGCACTATTCTCATCTCATGTGGTTGTTCTGATCTGGTGATGGTTAGGCCGGTGTCGATCGTTACAGGATTCGGGGAGGTCGAAAAGATGGCAGAGTCTCAAAGGACACGGATGCTCTTGCCAACCTCTTACCTCCTTTTGCACAAGTTAGCACGCTTATACAGGGTTATGCTGCAAAAGGCCTCTCGGTTCAGGATATGGTCACCCTCTCAGGTTAAATCTTACACAATTTAACTATAAGCTTGAAATTAATTATAACAGACTCGTTCATGTCTGAACTGTTTTTGGTTGCAGGAGCTCATACTGTAGGAGTTTCGCATTGTTCTTCGATCGTTGGGAGACAAGCTAACTTCAGCAATACTGGAAAGCCTGATCCCACCCTTGACCCCCATCTGGCCTCCGTACTAAGGGTTGAATGCCAGAGTAACAATGGGTCTGATAATATAGTTGTGATGGACAGATTCACACCACTGGTTCTAGACAATAAATATTATGTTGGTTTACTGCAAAACAAAGGGTTGTTTACATCCGACCAAACGTTGCTCACCATTGAAGTTACAAGGAATGAAGTAATGGAGAATGCATATAAGCCAGGTGTTTGGGAGCAGAAGTTTATTGCTTCAATGATTAAGATGGGAGAGATTGAGGTTCTAACAGGGAATCAAGGAGAGGTTAGAAAGGTGTGCAGCCGTGTCAACTAGCTTAGTTGTTTCCTGCGGATTGAAGAAGAGTTCCAAAATAATGGGAAATAAATAAATAATTTTTTTTTTTTTGTGATGAGTCATCAAGATATCAAGAATATGTTTGTTTTGTTGATAATAAGTTTGTTAATTGGGCTGTCTGTTTCTCAAAGTGAATAAGCGATTATTGGTTTGTATTTCACAGTTTTGAAAAAAAAACTTCATTGATTTCAAATTTATTGGTTTTGTGGCACAAATGCATGGCGAATTGCAAAATGGTTGGATGAGTGTTGAAGTTTGTTGACAATAGTTTTTCTCTCTCGCCTGAAGCCCGAAGGAGTTAAAAGGCGCTGTTTGGGTAGTCTTTTACTTTTGTATTTTTAAAAATACCAAAGTATTAAAGTACCATTATCTGTTTGGTAAAAACACGCCCATTTATACTTTTAATGATGGTTTCCGGTGGTTTCGTAGTCTAAGACCAGCGACGAACGGTTCAACTCTACCAATGGTGAGTAGAGGTAGGGCCAAGAAATTTATCAAAAGGTGGTCATGTTTACATGAAAATAAAAGCACTATTTTACCAAAATAGTGAAGTATAAAAAAAAGCCAATTTCGAACTTTCGAGGTTTTTCAAACTTCAAAAAATATGAAAACAAAAAACATAAAGTATATAATACAAATGTTATATCGTGTTTTTCATACTTTTAAGACTATCCAAACAGGGTTAGTTTGGCTTTCATACGGTGATGATTGTCCCTTCTCAAGAACGGACTAGCTGAACCATGGGGTAGATGGTCAGAGCGGCCAGGTCCCTGATTGTCCCGAAATTTCTAATACAACTTTATGATTATGGATTCCCGATTTTACGGTCTGACCGTTTGGTCCGATCCGATCAGAGCCTTGCAATAATGGTTTTAACTTTTAACGTTTAAGAGTAGTGCTGACATCTGTAGTGACTTTGGGATATGCTGGTAAGTGATAACCGACAAGTTGTTTTCTATGGATGCTCATAAATACTGAAAAATAAAAAAATCCTATTAATCAAATTAATTAATTTGGTATTTTTAAAAAATTAAGAACCAGTTTGATTTTCAATTAACCTAAAAAAACGGAAGTTAATCAAACCAACTGGTATATGTCTATATACATATTATATATTTTTAATATATGTCATATATTATTTATGTATTATATATTTATATATGCATTATATGTAAATGTATTATATTTGTAATAATTTATTTATATTTATATACTGATTATAAAATATATATATTATAAATATAAAAATTTGCGAAATAAAAAATCGAATCAACCAAAAACCGAAATTAGTTAATTGATCAACCGGTTGATTAGGTTCGAAATTTTCAAAAACCGATAATACCGGTTCGGTAAATAAAACCGTGAGCGAATTAAGACGGTTTCCTCCAACCCTTTTTTATATGAGGAGCGAAAGCTTATGAAAAAATCTTTGATGCGGGAAAGATATCAGTTGATTGGCTACCACACTTATGATATCAGTCGATTGCTCAAAATTTGTTTAGATATCATATCTTTTCCATATAATAGTTGAACCCTTTTCGAAATTGAGTTTAGTTTTTCCCGCAATCCCCAAACACAGGATTCGTGTCCATGTGCCTTCTTTCTTGACTGCAAACCCTGGTCTTGATTCTGAGGTTGAAGAGACTATCTCATCACTTCCATGAGGTCGGACTCGGGCGGTTCACCTCTCTGAATTGAATCCCCATACAATCCCAGCTGCAGATTTAACATTAACACAATGGAAACCTATTTCATGTCGGGCCGCTCTTCTTCACCTATCCTTCGGTTTCGGCTTCTTCCTCCAAAGCTCTTTCTTCGGAGTCCTCAAGTATTGCCTCTAGTTTTGCAAGATTTTTCCTGCAATTTACAAGCTAGGAGCCAGGAAGAGAGATCCGAAGCCAGGAATCGGATGTTTATACTCGGTATGGGTTTCGTCGGGCAGTTCTTCGCCGATCAGTTGAAAAAGGACGGCTGGTAGTTTTGTCCCTAATCTCTGTGGCACCTCTTATTTGCCCTGTTTTTTTTTGTTATGATTTGATTAAAATATTCATTCTCTCTCCCCGACGAAATTTCAGACTACATATCTAGTTCGATTTATTTGTCGAGCTCCCGAAACATTTTTGAATTGTGATTTAATCGGTTCTTAGTCACAACTAGGGTTTGGTTCAAGTTAATTTTTTATTTTAGTGAGCTTAGGAGTTATTGTCAGCTATCAAATGGAAAGCAAAACAAGCAATGCTCCAACTTTGGAAGAGTGCTCTCTCTCTCTCTGGCATTGCATATGCCATTTGGGCGGGAGAGGTGATCTGCCCCAGTGGGCTTTAAGATCCATATCCCAGGGTCTATCCCTGGGGGCTGGGGCTTGGGAATGGGCATTGGGCTAGCCAACCAGGCCTAGGTTCTGCATTACTTTTGGGTTCGTATTTACTGGGCCGGGCCCGTAAATTACAGATAGTACCCTGTACTTTGGGGGTAGTGACATGTAAGGGGCCAGGGGCCGAGGGCCAATACTTAGAATACTTAACTTTCTGAAATATACACTCAAGTCCAGCACCATCCAACACCGTTAACAAACTTTAATGTGAGTGGTAAAATGAGTAAATGGCCAAAATGCCCACTATCCACTAATTTATTTAAGATCTGCCACAGCTTTGGAAAAAATAAATTAAATTAGAGAGACAATTTAGGAAGGCCTAATGGTTGTACTGTGACTGAAAGGGCAGTTATAAAATTTAATAGTCTCTAAATACTATGAACTTTAGAGTGGAAGTTTCATTCATTATTTGTTTGCTTCTTTCTAATTTAAGTTAGTTTCAAACAAGTCTCCCATTTATCACTACTACCATTTATAGAAGTAGAGACACATAGAAAGAGAGAGACAAGACTTCATTGTTTGTTGCTAGAAAAAGGGGGCATAGCCGCATAACCATTATTCCCAGTTCATTCAGCACTGAGAAAGAAAATGAAGGTTGATGCACTGACCGCTGTTGCTTAAATGCATAGTTTATTTAGATCTAAATGAAAATGGCAAAGGAAGGGCATTTTTGGGATTTTAAAATGTTTAGTACAAGATAACTGACAGAATGCTAACAGTTAGACTTAATTGTATATTTTGAAAGTTTGGGGGTACTGAAGTGCCACATTTGAAGTTCAAGTCCTTAAGTGTCACTACCCCAAAGTACAGGGCACCTATTTAACCTAAATTAAAACCAAATAAAAAAAAAACTACACAGACTAACAAGAAAACAGCAAACAATATATAAAAAAAAAAGAAAACAGCAAGCGCCAAAGCTAAGAACTAAGAATTAGCAGCCAAATCTAGATCCCCCAAATAGTGGATCCAATCAGGACAATTAAAGCAAAAGACATCAGATTCTGAAGATTCTTTTTGCGCGAGGAAATGAGCCTAGCCATTGCAACTCCCACTAACAATCCTTTTCAATTGGACTTCTAGTGTTATTTGGTGTGTCAACTTGACAACCAATGGTTTTGAGATGTAATTCCTTTTTTTTTTCAATTTAATGAAATTTTTTCTTGATCCTTCAAAAAAAAAAAATCCTTCAACGAAAACAAAATATCCTTTATAGACTCTTAGCCAAGAAAATACATGTGGTACCAAAAAAAAAATAAAGGAAAGATTGTGCGCTTTGCAAGTTTGCATTGTCCTAATTCTTTTGTAGGAACATTGAAGAAGGATTAGCTTTCTGGAACAGATTAGTCCACAAATTTATTAGTGGATAGGCCTTAGACCTAATCACCCGAGTCCACCTTGGCTGACCTTGGTTGCAAATTGGTGCCAACTTCTGGTTAGCACTTAGTAGTACTCCATGTTTGAGTATGATTTCCTTGAACAATGTGACAGTGGCCCTCCATGAAGTACAAGATCCATAGTGCTCAAGCCATGATTTGGCATTCCTCTTTGGTTTGTTAATTGATTTTCTTATCATAGATGTACCTTTAGTCATATTGATTATGTAATCTGACGTGCACTTCTACAGGATGTTTGGCATGACCGTGTTTTGTGACTGTTGTGCTGCATGAACTTGCCATGTCAGTAAAGACCCTAAAACAATCATCAAACAAAATTTTTTAATGCCCATATGTGCAAAAAAGACAACACAATGCCCCACCTTTAATATGTTTATGCATCATAATTGTTTATAACTGTATACACAACTATAATATCACATGTGTCTATATGTTGTTTCAGGTTGTCCTCAGTTGTGGCCACAATCCAAGCCCAAGCCCAGCAGAAGTAAAGGGTTAGTTGTGTTTGGGTTGATCCTGGCCCAGGACCAGACTATTCTACTTTATTGGTATGGAAATTGTTACAGAATATGTCAGGTTGGGTCAGTCATGTCTTCTCTGCCCAGTTGAACGTCCCTAGGCCTGTCTATGTTACAAGGAAATATGGGATCAGGCATTTAATGGGGAGGAATAATTGGTTCACTATCTATATTGAATTATGTACAACAACATGGTAGTAATGTTACCTTTTTATGTGGCACAGATGTCAAGATTCAGGTGTTCAGAGGTACAGGGACATGGCAATAACTAATATATGAAAAGTATAGTAAAAATTAGAAACTCAAATTGTGGAGTCGCTATTGGAGTGTACATTATGATAACTGATACCTGTTTGTGAGTGCTGAATGCCAAGGTTCTATGCTAACTTTAGCTAGGAGCTTCTTAGAGATGTTATGGAAATGTCATGCCAAGTGCTAAGTTTTGGCATAGCTAGATCCTTTAGTTTCAAGGTGTTCTGGTAACAATGCATAATAAGGTGAGTCACCATATTAGTTGGCAATGGTAGTAGTGTGTAATTAAGATTGTTTTGATTGTTTTGAATTGTTGTAGATCTATGTTAGGCTTTTTGAGTGAACTTGACTAAAATTTGTTGAGAGATTCTAGAATTTTAGGGTAAAGACAAGGTTGAAAGAGTGTTAAATTACCGAAACTTAGTGGTGGAGGGGGATTCAAAGATGGTAATAAGTTGGCTAAAGTGCAGTGGACAAGGACAGTTATAATGAAAATGAAAATTACCGTTGGGTTGGGTTTATATAGATACACACAATTATTCTGGGGACAGTTATAATGAAATGAAAACGTTAGGGTTAGGGTTAGGGTTAGAAAATGCCAAGACGATATAAAGTTGGGTTGGGTTTATGCTTTGGGCAGCTCAACCAAACCCAAACCCTATGTACTACACTTGTAAGTTATAATTTTATATACATTATATGTATTGATTCCTATATATATAAGTATTTTATACTTTATGTGAGATGGGGAGGAGAGAAGATGATCATGAAAGGTATTTTATTGTAAAATATTTTACTAAAATATGTTGTCTATGTAACAGTTGCATGTGTATGCTTGCATAAGTATGATAATGTGTCTTTGTGTATGGATTTCTAAACTTAGTAGATAAGATTCCAAAACAAACCAACCAAGTGACCAACCTGATCTCTTATGGCAGGTTTGGGTCAGGGTTGAGAACCTCTGGTTGAACACAGGGTTGGGTTAGGATTAGGGTTGAGGTTTTAAAACATTGTGTTGGACTGAAGTTGACCTGAACTTGTCTGTTCTATCCATTTGGTACTTTCATGTTTTTACTTAGGTTTTGTGGTTGTGGTTAATCCGGTATACTCACTGCAAGTGGCGTGTTCTTGTGGTATTAGTGAATCAGGATGCCACTCAGAGTGCACAAAGCAGATATGCGGACTTTATGCATGTTCTGCATTCAAGTTTCTGAGCCTAAGTCATGAGTGGCAAGTCTAACATTTTTGGTTTTTGCTTTGTAGAATTAATAGAAATCCCTATTGACCGTAATATGCATTTATTGCTATTGACTGTTGCATCTTGATGGTTCAAATTATTAGTCCTCTCTAGTCAATTAATCTTCAGTTGTTCTTTATTCAATTGGTTGTCTTCTAATTAAATTGTATAGGTTGTTGCTTTCAGTGACATGTGCTGCATTAGGGGTGGTTTCCTAGAAATATTGCTGAACAGATATAATGCAAGAAGTTGACATCTTGGACCTTGAGCTGTAGGGAGGTCATAGGGACATGCACAAGTGATGCTAAGATGAAGAAACTTGAGGGAATGGGATTTGATGTCCATCTTTTTGACTCAAATGACCCAGAGTAAGTGAATTTGATGATGCGACTGCCTGCAATGGTTTTTTTCCCATATGTGATTGGGTGGTGTAATGAGTTGGGTCAGACTGGGATTGAAAATGTTGTCATTTTCTCATACTTATTGATGAGTTAGAACTTCTGTGATACCATACATGATTACTAGGGGTGCAACTTGGGCAGGCCTGGTTTGAGCAATTGTGAGAATTTGAAGGGACCCAGCCCAAAGGCCCAAGTCCAGTACTCCAGAAATTCTTCAAACCAGGTACCCACTCTGCACTCCTGTATTTACATGCGAAGTGAATATTTATTTCTAAGCTTGCAACTGTTCAGGATGCATATTCTATCATAATAAGAAATGCAAAAACTATAATTCTTTATATACGTGTATATGTGTGTATATCTATATATGTATGTACATTATGCTATATGACAGTATAATTATACAGTTTTTATTTTTGTTAAATCCAGGATTTTATACAACTCCTGAACTATCAGGGAACAGTAGTGCTTGTGTAGGAGCTTCTTGGGATAAAGGACTTTTTTTGGCTTCTTAGCTACGGTTAGTATAAGCCAATATGGCTTGTATTGTCCCATGGTAGGTTCTTCTGTTGTGCTGGGGGAGTTTGCCAATACACACATTCATATACATATATATGTAAATACAGACACACATATTTCAGAGTCTCACAAGTTTCAAGTAATTCATGTGATTTGCAGATCCCACATCATTTGACAAAGATGATGCCATAATATGTTGTGAGATGGTTGATTTGAGCTCAGTTGTTGAGATTTTAAATTTTGTTTATTTTACTACTTTTAAATGGTTCTTCTTTCTCTGTTTTGGATGACACTTATCATGTTTTTTGTTTTTCTTTTCTTTTTTATTTTTCCTGCCATTCTCTAGACTGAGAAGCCTGCATACAATGGAATCTGCTAGTCATCTCCTTATCTCCATTCCTTCTGTTGCTGGTTTAGGTGATCCGGTAAGTTAACCGAAGGTACACTAGCTTTTGATGTTTGAAACAATTTTTAGATTTAATATATGTCTTTAGTTCTGTCTAGGCACATCTATCTCTTACATTTTGATATGTTACTTAGGTGCTCCATCAGCATAAGGACCTTTTACAAAGTAGATTAAGCCATGGAAATCTTCAGTGGCTGTGCTACTTGTCATCAACAAGTATGGTCTAAATTCTAAAAAGTTTCTGTTATCATTTATATTGTGTAGCTTTTGACCTAACTCTTAATTGGTTTATTGACCATTGTGGTTGACTACACTTGATGCACCATTCACAACCTCTTTGGTGGGTCCTGTTGGAAATTTTAAGTGATTTGGGATCAATAACTGCAACTTTCATTAATATTAAAGAGTGAATAAGAGTACAAATAAAAGAATATAAAGAGAGATAAACCCTCTTATCTCTCCTTGAAAACCATTAATTCTTACAACTATGCTCAAAATAGTTGATTTCTCCCCACACCTTGTTTTCTAGAGCATCTGCCATGGAATTTGTGCTCCTTTTGACCCCTTGTATTCTTACTTCCATGTCCTTTGTAATTGTAGTGCCTCAAGAAGAGTCACAAACCATGAGGAGTTTCCAAAATCTGGGGAGCTTTCGTACATGTATGTGCACGTGGGACGTACACACAAGAGATGGATACCACTTATGGCCCAAAAGCCTAAGCTATTGGGTTATGTGCCACTCTTGTATATAAGTCCCTTGCACTTCTTGTGGTTTTCCAATGTTGGACTCTTTCGTTCCTCATAACTCACATGCGCATCCCAATGGTATCCATTTGAATTTCTTCCTCATTGGTGTATTTCCACAAGCTTGCCTATTCAATTAGTAGCCATGCCACTACCAATTTGGACTCACCTTCAACAATTAGCTTCCTAATGTTCATTTTTTTTGTCCTTTGCACCCCTTCCATCAGTGCCATAATTTCAGCTTTTAGAGAGTCTCCCTCACTAACTGGGTCTGAATATAATGTGATTACTTTACCCTCCTCATCCTTGAAAACTCCTACTCAAGATATTCCCAGGTTCCCCAAGCTACTTCCATGGAAGTTTAGTTTAATGCATCCTCTTTCTGGTGGAGACCTTACAAGAGTGATTATAGTTCTACTGAGAGCTGAACCTGCCACTTCCACTTTCTAAGCATATCACCCAAAGAAACATGTGAAAAGGGTTCTAGAGATTTTGAGCCAATGAGCCACTCTAATTAAAATAATATCAATTATGGCTTCCTTGGGACTTTCTTTTTCCAAAAAGATCCTTGAATTTCTTTCTTCCATATTGTCCAGCTTATTGCTGCCCTTTACATCTCCACATAACTTTCCCCCTTTTTTTGGCTATGCAAATGTTGTTGGAGCAAAAGGAATTGGGACATCATTTGGAGGAATCCACCTGCACCCAAATAAGGAGAACAACCACTCCCATATACCAACAACAAAGGGATAGGAAATCAGTAAGTGATAGAAAGCCTCACTGTTGGCTTTACACAAGATACACCAATGAGGGGATAACCGGATAAGCACCATTTCTGCTTCTTTCTTTGGAGCCAGTTATATGTATTTATTCAATTCTAGGAGGGATCATGTTTTCAACCCGTCGTTGACCATTCAAACCATCACCCAGCCATGATTCCGGGTCCGGTTTCCCTAAAACCCAAATTTTGGTCAAAATTGTTGACCTGGTCATAAGATGTCTGACCCTGGTGGTTAAACCATTGATCAATTCAACCTGGTGACCGGGTAACGAGTTGCACACTAAATGTATATGCAAACTTCTGGAAGCCATAACTTTGCACTTAGATGTTTGATTGGGGTGATCCTTTTTTTCCGATTTTGGGTTACTTTTTGAGACCTATGCATCATAAGGCGCCAGAGGTGCCTTGCCCTGCTTTTTTTGCTAAAAACTCCTTGTTTAGCCTCAAGTCCCAATTTCTTACATGTTTTTTACAAATAATAAATTAAAACTGAAATAAAAATATTATTTAAACATAAATTAATACATATATACACATATTATATGTAGAATATAATTATACATTATTTTATTATATAATACATGTTTATACCTGTACATACATCCATACATATGCTGGTGTGTCACAATCTCGCCTGTTCAGCCTAGGCGGTTAAACTGGTGAACTGTGAACCAAAGGCAAAGACAGTTCAGCCTCTGGGTCAGTTTTTAAAAACATTGGGAGGGATAGGCTTGCACCATACCTCTGTGGCAAGAAAAGATTGCAAAGAGTTCAAGGAGGGCAGGGTTAGGTCTTTGAAGAAAGAAGCACAGGAAAAGGACCCATAAGGAGAGGGAGTTATTAATGCTACATATTCCTAATGCTCATTACCTTCATACTACACCTCTATGTGTGTTTACATTTAGAAAAAATAGATTAAAAGGATAGTTAGCATTAAGCTTATGAGTAAGCTGTTTGGCATGTATATATTCTTTTGCAGGTGTATATGGAGATTCTGGTGGCGCATGGGTTGATGAAGAGTAAGCTTTTTAATTTTAGGGTAAAATACAAAAACCTCCCCTGAAGTTTCTAACAATCATAAAAACCTCTCCTATAGTTTTATTTTAGCAAAAACCTCCCCTTTATTTTTGACAAAATTAACAAATACCTCCCTTCCGTCAATGACCAAGACGGAAAACGTTAAAGAGATATCATTTTTTCAAAATACCTATTTTACCCTTTCTAGAACATTGTTCGTCTTCTTCCTCACGGCGCAAAACGGCAGAATGGCGGTGCACTCCCCCCTCCAACCTTCCCTCTTCTTTAATTTCCCTCTAATTCTCTCTCTCTCCCTCTCTCCCCACCAACACGAAATAGCACTATTCATCATTCCCATCTCTCTCATTCTTCAATCTTCATCAATGGCATCTCTGTGTCTCCTCTTGCTCTCCCTTTCTTCTTCTTTTCTCTGTCTGAGGTTTCCACACCAGATACTTTGTTCCTCCCCATTCTTCAATCTTCATCAATGGCACTATTGATCACATACGTCTGAATTCCACTGATATCAAGAACATTCTGAATTTCGGCCACCCTCACCACATCATGATAAGATGATCGCCTTATCTTTCAACCAAATCCCAATTCAGTCCCTCCCCTCCCTAATCAATCATCTCCTCAGGACTCCATCCTTAAAGAAATGAGCTTGGTAATTTGAAACAAAAGGAAAACAGACAAGGAAAAGAGTTTACTACCCACCTGAATTACTTGATGATCCTTGTGCCCTGACCCCCGGCAATAGAAGCAGAATGCATCACAGCTACAATCAAGGCAATACATGTTGCATTCGCTCCGAGGTGCATTGCTGTGTGTTTGGAAAATGGAGAAGAATGCCGTCGACAGCAACGGTTCCAGCCATGGTGGCACCAACCTTGATCCTTGACTGGGATTTTGGCCTGGAACTTAACTCTGCAATAGGGAGCTTGAGCTAACTTCCATCTCGGATAGCAATGGTTCTTAAAGGATACAAATGGGAGATTGGCGAGAGAAGGAGATCTTTCCAATGTGAATGTCACTTGAAGCTGAGAGAGAGCAACGACTTCGAATGAAACTTGCAGTGACCGGCTTTGTTCGAACGGCGTTCAAAGCAGAGTTTGCGTTATAGATCTGGGGAGCCGAGATGATAAAAGATGAGGTATGTATGATGGGGGATGAGAAGGGCAATCGAAAACGGTGAGAGATAGCCGGAAATCTAAACGGAAATGCGATGGATGCGGCTATGGTGATTATCAGAGAACAGTTATGGAAAGCAATTCGAAAATGGACGCCGACAGGGGAAGGAAAAGAAAGGAGGGGAAGGAGGAACAAGAAGAAAGAAAAGAGATGGAGAAGAAAGAGAGGGAGCGCAAACGGGGGGAGATAGATGGTGGGAGAAGGCGGATTGACGTTGAGTTTGAATCCGCCGCTGCAATTGCAGTGATGGAAATGGGACAGAGAAAGGGAAAAAGGGGAAGAACAAGAAGCCGAAGAAGAAGAGAGAAGAGGAAGAGATCGGATTTAGAGGGGGTGCCGCCGCCGCCTCTGCTTCTGGGTTCGAACGAGGAAGAAGAGGAATAGTGTTCGAGAAAGGGTAAAATAGGTATTTTGAAAAAAATGATCATCTCTTTAATGTTTTCCGTCTTGGTGATTGACGGAAAGGAGGTATTTGTTAATTTTGTCAAAAATAGAGGGGAGTTTTTTGCTAAAATGAAACTATAGGGGAGGTTTTTATGATTGTCAGAAATTTCAAGGGAGGTTTTTGTATTTTACCCTTTATTTTAACAAGTTCTTGCATGCTAATTGTAACAGGAGCTGCTGTGCATAGATCTCATGTATAGTGTATGGTTTTATGTAGTTATCCCACAAACCCTACTAGTGAGTCCGCCAAAGCAAGAGTGGATGCTGAGAGGGGGTGGTTGAAGTTGGGCCATGATCTTGGTATTTCTGCACAAGTATTTCGGCTTGGGGGTATATATGGCCCTGGAAGAAGGTCTACATTATAAATTTATTTTAAAAGCGTGTGTTATTTTATTATTGCCTAGAAATTGTTGTCTGTACCTTAATTTTGCTCATTTGCAAGGAAATTCAGTGGATATTGGGTTCTTATAGAAACCACTCACTATGTATTAATTTTAGTTCTATCTGCTGAAATTAATTATGGCTTTTATCTTTACATTTACCTTCTCTTTCTTTCGTGTGTGTGTGTGTATGTGTGTGTGGGGGGGGGGGGGAGGGAGAGGAGAGGGTAGGACCGGTAAGCATTTAGGAGTTAAAAGATCATGGGATATTGGATATTTGGGAGGGAATTTGGGTTTGGCTAATTTAAGGATTTAAGGTTCAAGTTGAAAGGGAAAAAGGATGATTAGAAGATACAAAAAAACTGGATTAAATTTGGGAGTACAGGTTCAGGTTTAAGAAGCGAATGAAAATTTGATCATGCTAAGAGAATGGGCTAAATCTTCTTAAACAGGGCAAAAGGACTTGAGATAAGATAACAAAGGGAGCTGCTGATAGGGGTTGGATTTCTCTAGAAGTTTTAAGCAACTTCTGAAGGGGATTGTTACTAGCATATCAATATATGGGTTTCTGTGGGTGGAACAGTTCTATGGATATATGTGTTCATGAAACCACAGGCTACTTGTTTCCTGAAATTTCAGTCCAAAATCCAGAGCTTTAATCAATAAACAGCTTAAGATAAACAATTAAATCAATCACAGCAGCCAAGAATGCTAAAGAAAAGAAAATAGTAAGAGGAAATCAAATAGATAAAATCACCCTAAAGGTTCAAGGAATCATTTCTCTAAGTTGGCAATCCATGCAACCAGCTATGGCCAGTAATAGGAAGTTCCAAAGTTAATTTACAGACTAAAATAAGAGGTAAAACAGTGGGAGCTGCATTATGAGTTAAATTAAAAGACCATTTCCTGTGATCACTGAAGGCTTCAAAGAGTGTATATAAAACAGACTATAAACTTAGAAGAATGACTTTTGAAGCTTAGATGGACAAAAATAAAACCCTATGTCTGGATCCCAAACTGTAATAGAAGATTATAAAAATACTGATGCCTGGCACACTGCCCAAAATTAGAGAAAAGCAAGACTTGTTTCAGGACACTTAAATAAATTAGCCAGTGGCCACAGTGCACGTGCATTGCACATGTAAATTGAGGGATAACCGAGTAATACAGTAAAAGTTGGAATATATAGTAGTTTATTAATTTATTTTGTAAAAGGGAGAGTAGAAAACTTTCAACTAAAGAGGCAACTCCTCTTCCATATGTAAGTCGTAGAAAAATTTCATTTGGACAGGCTGGGGTTTAGTCTTCCACATCTTTGTGAAGTTTTAGAAACCTTGGTGTTGAGAATTTGGTGGTTGGATCATTCAAAAAAAAAAAAAAAAAAGAATTCGATGGTTGGACTTTGGTAGTGATTTCAAGTGTTCCTTTTTTTTTTAAATTCTTGGGCTGTAAGGCAGACCTTGGAGATTTCTCTCCATGCTTAAATTGGTTTGGTACTTTGCATCTAGGTTGAACTGAACATTTCATTCTCTATGAAATCAAGGTTGAAAACAAGCTGAAGAGAAACTTGGCAAAAGCTGGGATTGAGGAAGATGTGGATTTGCCTACATACTTTTTTCATTCTGGCTGCCTTTGTATATCTGGACTTACAATTGAACTTCATACACAAGTCTTTCCCTTTTCTCCAATCTTCTTTTCTTTAATAAAAAAGAGAAGTCAATTTATCACTGGCCTCAATAAAGTAAAATAAAACAAAAATAAACTGGATAAATTTGGTCAGTGTCTTCTAGTTCACTTGTATTGACCATTCCACCTCAGAGATCATGGGTTGCTTCAATAGACTGTCACACCAATTGTTTTTCGGCTGATTAGTGGCCATACTAACTAATTATGATCTACTGATAATTTGGCACACCTATTCATTAATTATGGTTTCCCTGTAGTGCTTTGGACACCATACTCAGGCAAGAATCTTTGTCAAAAGGTCAGAAGATGAGGGAGGCTAGAAGATATACGTCCAGAGTCCACATTGCTGATATTTGTCAAGCACTGAAGGCTAGTATTAACATGCCAACATTTGGGTATGTTTCACTTTCCCCATGAAACTAAGATTGGTTTCTGCAGAATTGCATCCTGTGCCTGCTAAGAAATTCATCTCAAGAATTCACAACACTTGTCACCACTGAAACTAGCATGATATGGTAAATGTGGATATTCTTGTCAATGATATCCAAACAATTGAGCATGGTTAGTGTACTCAGGCCAACATGATATGGTATCAATACTAACACGAAAACTACATGATTGCTTTTATAGTAGATCTTTAAATGTTTTCTCCCTACTCTTAACAATTAGGTATTTTAGTTTAACAAAATTTACCTTAAGAAATGACGTATAGAAGTTGTGTTGAAATTGATTTTGTAGCCAATATAAGCCAACAAGTAAAAGAATATGTCAACATCTTTGATAGGATACTGTATAGTCTGTATTTGTGGCTGTCTGTTGGGTTTTGGAAACGAGCTATATACCAGTGTTTGAATTGGCATCTGTATCTGGGAATCTTAGATTCTTATTAAAAGCTGAGTAGAATTGAAAATACCGCATTATTTAGAAGGTTTTAAGTTTTGAAGGACA